GGTTGTAGGCCACTTTTATTTCTGTGCTGTTATAACTTCGAAATGTCATTAAAGAATGACCTGTATGTGATTCTGAAATTCTACTTTTTTTTTTCAACTTCTGAACAATAATTTGTTGATCGCTTCATTGGCTTTGGTCCTTTTCTTGAAAATCACCAGAAAATTTCAGGGAAATAAACTACGCTACGAAGCCAGAAAAGCTTCTTGTAAGAAAGCAGCAGGAGCAAAAAAATCAAAATGGATTTAGCCCTGTGGTGATCCAGCGTTGGTCTTGCAAGAAAGTTTTCCCAGTCTTAAAAAAGTATAGTTAGAAATACTGCCTGAAGCATCATGAAAGATTGAACTTCATGTGCTCCTTCACTTCTCCTGAGATGTTTCAGACTTCCCTCTAAGATAAGACAAAGGCTAAAGACCTTTATGAAGTTTTCTAGCCAGATGTACCCAGTGGTGGGATTCAAATAGGTGATGGATGCTGCTTCTGGTAGTCCATTCTGGGCCTGGGCAGCAAAAAAATAGCTACCGGTTCTGCCGAACTGGTGCAAACTGGCTGAACCCCACCACTGGATATACCTCTGAGAGGAGATACTGTACCAATGCAGCTTTGACCTTGCCAAACAGAAAAGGCTAAAATAATTGGGCTGAACATTTGTAATTGTGAAGGATGATGCTGCCCTTAACATTCTTAGCTTAACAAGGACCAACAGCAGGAATCCTTCCAGGTTATCTTTAATGTCTCTCACAAGAGCATCAAGTGAGTCTTAGTGCAGCTCAATCCAACAGGATAAAGTTGAATTGCTTAGATTTTGTGTCATTGATTGAAGAAAGTTTGCCTGTCCCTGGTTTAAGGGAGAGGGCCCAACGGGACATAGTCCTTAAGTGCTAAGCTTAAAAGAGGTCCATAGTTGGCCCCACCTACCTCAGGGGAACGCTGGGTGAGAAAGTTGGAGGAGAGACTTCTATGGACGCCTCCTTTAGCTCCTAAAGGAAAGATGAGGTGTAAGTCAAAGATGTAATTATCTTGTACGGATTATCTGATCTTCTCCCTGATGTTGCTGGGCGTGTTTCTGGTATGATTAGTTTATTAACTCCCATCCCTGCCTTCTCCTTGTTTGTCTTGCAGGCTTTTCACATCACAAATGATGAGCCCATTCCCTTTTGGGAATTTTTGTCTCGCATCCTCACCGGCCTGCACTATGACCCCCCCAAATACCATATCCCTTACTGGCTAGCTTATTATTTAGCCCTTCTCTTCTCCCTGGTTTTGCTGGTGTTGAGTCCCCTGGTTACCATTCATCCTACCTTCACTCCCATGAGGGTTGCTCTCGCTGGGACTTTCCATTATTACAGCTGTGAGCAGGCCAAACGGCACATGGGCTACAAGCCGGTGGTTCGCCTGGATGAAGCCATCGCAAGGACCATCAAGAGTTATTCCCATCTCCAAAGGACCACATGATGGTCTGAATTCCAACCAGACATCTCCTGAACCTCTTCCATGGATGCTATGTAGGTTCCCTGATTGGTCTTTCCCTCCAGTCCATTTGCCATGGGGAAAAGTCCCACTTTGGAACAACTTCTGAGGTTGAAATACTTTCAATTGTCTCCAGAGTAGCTGCTGGCCCAGGATGACCCAGTTTTGTACAGGGGCATCTTTTGATAAAAGCCTTTCAGAAAGGTGCATTGGTTTTGTGGAATTGCTGCTTGATCTACTATCTTCCTTTTCAACCTGTCCCTTTTGGGACATAGATGTTCGGGTTTAAGGGCGAGAGGTGGGAACTATCTTGTTTTGAGCTTTGCCATTGCAAAAGGAGGAAACAGGTGCTTGAATTGAGGAGAAACTGAAACATCTGGTCCAGGGATGTCCAGTCTTGGCAACCTCAAGACTTGTGGACTTCAACTTCCAGAATTCCCCAGCCAACATGACGTGCTGGAGAATTCCAGGAGTTAGTCCACAAGTCTTTAAAATTGCCAAAGTGGGACACCCATGTTCTAGACCAGTGATTCTCAACCTTTCTAATGCCGTGACCCCATAATACAGTTCCCCATGTTGTGGTGACCCCCAAGTGGGTGTGGCCACCAATAAGAGGGAGTAGGACAGCTAGGGAAAAGGGAAAAAAATGGCGGACAGCATGGTTTGGTGACCCCCGTGAAATGGTCATTCGACCCCAAATGGGGTCCCGACCCACAGGTTGAGAACCACTGTTCTAGACTTTGCCCAGAGCCTATTATTTTTGAAGCTTGATGGATTCTTGGTATTCTTTGGGCTTGCTTCTCTTCTTACAGATGTTTCATTCTTCTCTATCTGGTGCGGGTTGGCTATGAGCCACCTGACCTAAACACATCCTTTCTTATCTCATACCTATTAATCAACACCCAGATAAATAGGAGACATCAAAGAACTTAAAAAACCCCACCCAAAAATCAATCAAGGAAGAAGAAAAATAGCCCAATCAAAAGCTGGTAGGATCATCCATCATAAATAAACAGCCAGCAAACACTGCCACTATCTCTGTGCACTGATGATGCTGTCTAGTTTGATAATGAAACATCTGCAGAACAGAAGGTCAGAAAACACCCAGAAGCCCACAATTCAATATTTCTTAAGCGAGGCCAGGTGGCGTTTCATCAGTGGAATCAGGAGCACATCCATTCTGCTGGATCTAGTAGGATGAGCAGAAACAAGCAGAGATTAACCTGGTGGAAGCCATGAAGGGCTGCGGAGATGATAACCAGCACCCTGTGTTGCTGGTGCTGGTTGCCACGGATGAGAGTGGTATTAAGGCCAGGTCAACCAAGGAATGTATGAAAACCTCCCATCTTTGCGCAACCATCTCTCTGTAGCCCGCAGCTTCTCTGACTTTTTGTGCTTCCCATAACCTTCGCAACATCAAGAGGACCGCTTCTTCTAAGGAAACAAATTTTTGAGTAGCCAAGCTGCAGGCATCATCAAGGGGCACTCTTGCCCTTGAGGAAATCACTGGAAATTACTCTTTCCCCTAGAGAAATGCAGAGAAGTCCTTCACCTAGTTTTTTTCCACCCAGAAATGGGATGGAGAATCGTGAGCAATTCTGCTGTGGCCAATGCATTCCTCGCATAATGTATGCATATTATTCTTTGAATGTCTAATGCATTCCATGTGTGTAGTCTTATAATTCTCAAGGCGAACGAACAAGATAGGTCAGGGCTACCTGTACTGTATATGATTGGCAAAAGATGGCCCCAGGCAAGCCAACTTGGCACCGTAATGCTTCCTTGAGTTCACAATGGAGTCAAAGAGAACTTTCTTATTTCGTCATATCTCCATTTCTTCCCTCATTCTTTTAAAACGTATTCGCAATCTTTTTCGGCCGTTTTTTTTGGTGTATGTGTGTGTGTGTGCAAAGGGACACATTGACAAGACTTGCAAACCAGTGGGTTGCAAATTTTCCCTTGGCCCCCGTCTTTTAAATTCAAATAGTACAACTGATGTGCTTTTGTTTTTGCCCTTTGGCCTTAATGACATTAGGAAGACACTAACAATTTGCAATTTTTAAAAAAACGCCTGTAGCCTTCCAAGTGACTAACGCTGGGTTTAACCGTGATCCTGGGGGAGGTGTCACAATGCTGAGCAGACTTAAGGGATGCATTAAAGTTGGTGAAAGATAGTTGCAGAGTTCTCCTGGTGAAATCTTCGTGGTGTTGAGAAATTCCGAATAGCAGAATAGATTGATGTCATTTTGAAAGCACTGACATTTGCTGGCATCGTTTGGGGCCAGAGACTGTTCTTTGTTCCAAGAAGCAGATAACTCAAAATGTCAATCATCACTTGCCTTCCTTAGCCAAGAAAAAAAGTCTAAATAAACTCTCTCATTCTGTCTCATTTTGTGATTAAACATTAAAAAAGTTCCGACTGAGATAACTATTGATCGCTTTTTTTGCGGGGCACTCGGTCTCTAAAAGGTTCGCCATCACTGCCCTGGGAGAAAAACTCAACATTATTAATTTTTGCTCTGGATTCCAGAGAAGCTAGGGCCGAACACTGACGAGATAGCTAGAAGAAAACTCTAGGACATTATTCCCACGTTGCTCTGGGATGTTTGTAATCTACTAGAATAACAGGTGGAAGGGGACCTTGGAGGTCTTCTAGCTTAACCCCCTCCTCAAGCAGGAGGCCCTAGACCATTTTAGACAAATCCAGTAAAGGCAAGATGGTCACAATGTCCAAGGGATCTTCTACCCCTCCTCCTCCTTTGCAACACACCTCAAAAGCCAATCCCAAAGGTGTTTTTCAGGAGGCACCGTCTCTTTGAAGACCTCATCCAAGAAGCTTCTTCCAAGAGAAGAAGGAAAGCCCAGTTGCCTGGTGAAAAAAAGCACCTTTGAGACAACCTTGTCCTGGATGGCTGAGAATCTCCATAGACCAGTGGTTCTCAACCTGTGGGTCGGGACCCCATTTGGGGTCGAACGACCATTTCACGGGGGTCGCCAAACAAGGCTGTCCGCCATTTCCCCCCCCCCCTTTTCCTTAGCTGTGCTACTCCCTTTTATTCTATTGGCTTTTGAAAGCCAATAGAATAGACTCTCTTGAATAGAGTCTAATTCTATTGGCTTTCAAAAGCCAATAGGAATTGTCCAGGCAGTCTCTGCCCTGCTGAGCCCGCCAAAAGTCCCATTCTGCAAACGGTGCTGCACCAGTTGAGTAGTCCTTGACTTACAACTGGTTGAGTAGTCCTTGACTTACGACCGGTTGGGGGTCGCAGCATTAACAAGGTTGAGAACCACTGGCATAGACACTCAAAAGCCAATCTGTTTTCGAAGAAACCAAACGAGGACTGGCAGGCTGACAATGCAGAGGAATTTTTGGCACGCTCATCGTCTCACTCATTGGGCGATGGTGCTACAATAGGCAAAAAGGTGAGAGTTGATTTTTCCTGGGCAAGTTAGATGCTGGGGCAGGGCGATTGGCTTCTGGCATCCCTAATGGCTGACCTGTCAGCCTCGCCCACAGCCAAGACCTCAGCTACCACTTGCTTTCTTTTCTCCTCTGGCCCAGGACGTCTGCAGTGACACAGGGCAGAGAATGCAAAGAATGTGGAAGGGAGAGGCTGAAGCAGAGCGGGAGGGGGACTCTCTCTCATTCTCTCCCTCTCCTGTGCCTGGGATGTAGGAACCTGTTTGATGCCCTGCAGGGTAGAAGCACCCTCCCATTTTGTCAGCCTTCCCTCCCATAACAAGGCTGGGCCCCAACCTGAGATCCTGGGAGCTTTGCCCACACACTGCCCTCCCTGCAGATTGCTCACGCCACAACCGAGGGCGCAGGCTGTTGTAGGCTTTAAGTAAGATATCCTCACAGAAGGAAATCCCCGGTGCTGCTACTCCTGTGCAAGGGTCCCAAGTAAGTCTCCTTTGGTTCTGCTGGGCAAGGCACAATCCTTCGGGGAGTCTGCTTTTTTTTCTTCTGTAAGCTTATCCAGGACTAAAGGTTGCGCTCTGCCCTAAACTGTTCAGGCTTTTGGGCCAGGTGTGGGTAGCCTAAGTTGGGATGACCAAGAAAGATCGCTTTGCAGTCCCCACCTCCTTTTCCCCCTCTCCTCTTACAATCCTCTCAACTGTTTCCCATTTTCTCACGCCCTATCGCTGAAGTAATGAGCAGTTACACTGGTCTGGTTTGACATAAGGGAAATGAAAGGATTGATTTGTGATAAGACTATATATATATGAATTGCTTTTTCCCTGACCTGTGCTGCACAGTATTTTTCTTCCTGGGTGCTCCATGCATCCAGAATAGTGTTCACAGTGGTCTTTTAAGGTAGAAGAGTTCTGGAAAAGAGTTTTCCAAGGAGTCTCCCCCACGGCTCTTACACACTCATTATACTCTGATGTGGGCAGAGTTTAAAACAAGGTCAATTGCTGGTGATTTGGGGGGAAAAAATCATCAATCTTTGCCCCCCTTTTGCTGTTTTAAGGGGAGCAAAGACGTCCGGCCAGAGTTCGGAAGCCTTAAATGCCAAGGCTGGTATGCCTTCCCCCAAATCCCCGTTTGTCTTTGTGCATTTGAACATTTTGTGCTAGCAACTCCCATCTGTCTCCAAAGTGCTTTTCAAAAGGCAACTGGACTTTTTAAAAAAAAAAAATTTTATTTATAATGCAGTTAAAAACAAACAAACATTGGATTTAACGTGACCTTCCAGTATATACATTCTTATCAGATTATTCCACTTTTTACAATCAATTCTTCATCTCTACATATACACCTAAGTTTTATATACAATACTTGATTCTAAAATAATATATATTTCTATTTTAACATTCATCTTTAATCCTGACCGTCCTCTTCAAATTCCTCCTGCGGTAAAATTTATCCCAGGTTTCGTAATAAACTGATCCACATTTATCTTTTAATATCATTGTAAGCCTGTCCATTTCCGCACGTGCTAATATTTTATGTATTAACTCTTCCTCTGTGGGAATTTCCTTGCTCTTCCATTTTTGCGCAAAGGCAAGCCTAGCTGCAGTCAGGATGTGTAGCAGCAGGTAGATTGTTCCAAAAGGCAACTGGACTTTTGTTCTTGTTTTTTTCCTTGAAAAGATTTAGCTTCTCATCCAAAAATATTCTACAGTTCGATCTGTGTTTATTTCATTCTGTGTTTACATGCGCCGGTGCAAGATAGCTTATTTGGTTCAGACCTTCAGATGGAGAGTCTTTTTTTTTTTTTTTTTACTTCTTGAATCCATCAATATTTTTTTTTCTCCCACCAACGGGCGTGAGATGGGTGAAATCCGTGTCTCAGGACTTTTCTAAAAGCTATGGTAATAGATTCTCCAGAACTAAAGTTTGGATAGCCCCACCCTGGCTTCCGCTTTGCCCTTTTGGATTTCTGTCTGTTGGGCAGCTCTTGGTAAAATTGAAAAATGTAGCCCTGTAGGGTAGGCAGAGCTTGGCGCATTCTCCTCAGCGGGGCGTCCTCCGTTTTCTGTTTGGCAGGCTTTGTACTCTGCCCATGCTTGGAGAACATCTGTCAGAGAGCTGAGGAATGCAAGCCATTCTCAGAAACCACATGAAGAGAACGCTGGTTTTAAAAGTAACCGGTATAACAGAGATTTGTGCCAAATCTTTTCTCCTTTTATGAAACTCCTCCTTATAAAGGCATTCGCCAATATTTTTTTTTTCCTGAATCCAACTCCTGGGCCTTTAATAACTGCACCACAAGCAGAAATCACACCAAACAAAACCTCCCCATATGCTCAGAAGGCTTGGCTCACATCCTATTTGATTGTTGTTGGTATAAGAGGGTGAGAGGCTGGTTCTTTGGCTCCTGTATTAAATGAATGATTCATTGGGAATCCCATGTTAAAACAACACACCTTATGTGCGACCAGAATCTGAAAATAACATTTAACATGGCACAGTATTGAGTAAAATGGTTCGGCTACGATCGGCATATGTGGGACTGATCGGGTTAGATTGTAGGGGTGATACTGAAATATAATTTTATCTTATTTTACTTATCGATATATTAAATTATTGTATTTTACTCCAATTTCATTTTAAATTGTTTTCAATGGGATTTTATTAATAATTTGTGTTTGGAATTCTGCATTTCTTAAAAACTCCCAGTGTTGGAGCACCCACAACTCCTGAAGGGCAGCTGTTCCACTGATTAATTGTTCTAACTGTCAGGAAGTTTCTCCTTAGTTCTAGGTTGCTTCTCTCCTTGATTAGTTTCTATCCAGTTGCTTCTTGTCCTGCCTTCAGGTGCCTTGGAGAATAGCTTGACTCCCTCTTCTGTGTGGCAGCCCCTGAGATATTGGAATACTGCTATCATGTCCCCCCTCACCCTTCCCTTCGTTAAATTAGACATACCCAATTCCAGCAACCTTTCCTTATATGTTTTAGCCTCCAGTCCCCTAATCATCTTTGTTGCTCTTCTCTGTACTCTTTCTAGCGTCTCAACACCTTTTTTTACATCGTGATGACCAAAATTGGATGCAATATTCCAAGTGGGGCCTTACCAACATGATGATGCTGTTCCTTCATCTTCTACTCTCCCCTGTCTTGGTGTCCCCCAAATGTGTTTCAGGCTACCAGCTTCTGTAATTGGCAGAGTGAAAGAAGGTTCATGATATCTCCTTTGCTACATCTTTTTTCCATAGACGAAGGCCATAGTGATGAGTGTCACATGGCTTGTGCTTCTGCCATTCACCCGTGATTTAGTTGCATGACAATTTAGGGCTTGGGACATCAGTAGAACAAGTTCCACTTCCCTTCATGTGTTTGGGAGGGAGTTGTGGACTTGTGCCCCACCCAATGGCTCTTGCCCATCAGGTTTACTTTGCTCCTGTTTTGGATTGGAGTGAAGGTTTGCAGAAACGAGAGTCTGCTTTTGGGATGGTCTTCTCACTGACCCCAGTTTTCAGCTGACCATAAATCCAATTTGATGTTGCCTTGATTGTCATCTTGGTGACCTGTGAAGGTCTGGTGGTGTTATGCAGCTAAGACGTTGGTCTAACTTTATGGTGTCTTCAACATCTCCCTAATCCTAAGAGAGTCTATATTGTCCTTCTCCCTATTCATTAACAAAGCCCATGACGCTGTCATTCAGACTTAATAAAAATATGTGCCGAGTTAGATGTCCAATCGCTCTTCTTGTTCATAAACTAAGTAGAGCTGGATCAAGAATAGAATGGAAGAATATCAGGAAATACCAGGGCTGTTGTAGATTAGAATAGAATAGAGCTGGAAGGGACCTTGGACCTAGTCCAGCCCCCAGCTGAAGCAGGAGAACCTATACCATCTCAGACAAACAGATGGTTGAAACAGACGATTGTAAAAACATATTGGAAAAAGAGAATGATGAACTGCTTCCATATTGTTGCCCAGAAGTCTTCATGGATGCATTCATGAAATCACTAGAAGTTAAGCCTGATTTAAAAGAGGTTTTACCTTCACCTAAATATAGCTAACCAAGCTAAGGCTGTATGTGTTGTGTGAGAGCTCCATTGGTGGAAGAAAAATAAGCACTATTCAGTACTTCATTTTATTTCAGAGAAAGTTTGGGGGGGAAGTATTATTGCTCAATTAGAGCATCCTTATATCTGGAAGGTCCCAGATAGAATTTCTGGTCCAAACTGATCTGGGAAAGGCTACTGTCTTGGCAACTAGAAAAGCCATGGAAGTTTCTGTTTATCTGTGACAACCGCAGTGAGATTATTACTATATGCTCAAAGGTGGAAAGGTTTGACACGCTAACCAGAATGGAGGAGTGATTGGTAAAAGTGATGGAACTTGCAGAGATAGCTAAATTGACTTCCTTGATTAAAGATATTAACTCCAAATATGGCTGGCTGGAAACCCTTTATAGATTTTTTTTTTGCATGAAACAGAAAAAATGCACATGATCTGTGGTTTTGATTATTAGAAAAAATGAATAATAGGAAAAAAGTGAGTTTTTCTGTGATGATACTGTAAGAGATAAGTTTGCGATTATACTTGAATTTGCTGCAAAAGAAATTGGAAGCTTCTCTTCTCTTTTCTTCTCTTCTCTTCTCTTCTCTTCTCTTCTCTTCTCTTCTCTTCTCTTCTCTTCTCTTCCCTTCCCTTCCCTTCCCTTCCCTTCCCTTCCCTTCCCTTCCCTTCCCTTCCTTCTCCTATTTCTTAGTAATGTTCTCTTCTTTATATAAGGAAGACTGCTGTCTCAAAATCTTCATTAAAGTGTCATGTGCAATGTGTTAGCCCTATTTCTCTTCTGGAACCGGAAAGACAATGAGGAAGTGAATGTATTTTAAAATCATTTGCAAGTAGATTCATTGCTCTATGTTATTTCAGTCAGTCTCCTCCATCAGACTAATGTATACAGGAGAAAGATTATGGAAATAGCACGTGCAGGTCAAAGGAATGCATTACATCAACAAGGAGAAAAAGAGAGAGAGAGAGAGAGAACAAAACAACCTGTTACAGTACCTCAGGTAGTTTATTTATTTATTTAGAAAATTGATATGGCCGCACAACTGACTGATGTTGATTTGGGGGCACCTTACAGCAATAAAACCCCAAACCCAACAAGCCCCCTCACCCAATGCAAGATTTGGGCATGAGAAGGGTACAAAGTTTCAGATGGTCACAATGCCAATTTTCCCTAACATCTGGCTTGAAACGATTCCTCAAATTTATGTTGCAAACTGATGTGAGCAGTCAAACTAAACAGGGTTTTGAATTATGAGCCAAAGTACACCTGATGCTATGCTAGATTGGTCCAGTGAAATCCAAGAAAATCTATAATGAGTGAGTAGCTGTTTGAAGGTCCGGGTGGAGAGAAAACCTTCCAGTTCTCCTATTGTGGTCAGGAATCAGTGACCTCAAATGTTGCTCAGCTCCAAGTAACTTGAGCCAAGAGGACTAATGGTAAGGTGACCAACCGTCCTCCTTTAGGGAGGACAGTCCTCCTTTTGTAAGTTCTGTCCTCCCTCAAAAAGTGTCCTCCTACATGTCCTCCTTTTTGATATTTGAAGACTAATCTGCAGGGCTTTTTTTTCTCATAGAACGCTCAGAACGGCGTTCCGGCACCTTTTTTTTGATGTTTTTTTTTTTCAACTTTTGCATGAGCCGTGCTACTCCCACTATTGGCTTTCAAAAACCAATAGGAATTGCTGCTGAACGCGCCAAAACACTCGGCTGGCAAACTTTGCACATGCAAGTTGTCTGTATTATTGTTGCAATGAATAAAATGTTTCTTTTATTTATGATATTTTTTTCTTCAATTTATTTGTGTCCTCCTTTTTATTGTAAAAAAGTTGGTCACCTTACTAATGGTTGAAGTTCAGCAATATTTGGAGGTCCATATATTCCCATACTCTCCAGTAGAACATGATTTCTGAATGTTCTGATCACCCATAACGTCTCCTCTTGTATGTGCCCAGGGTGTTTATATTGCAGTAAGGCATAATTTGCTTTGACTTCATGTAATACGCTAAGCCTTAAGCCACGTTTTCCCACCCACTATGGCTGGATTCAGACAAGTCTGCTAAAAATCAAGCAAGGCATGGCTTACCATAATATATGAACTCGAGTCATGCATGATTCAGACCAATGCTTTCTTTGGTTCAGCACTGCCAAGTGCAATTAATAATGGAGTTGCAAGTCTTGAGTAAGGCACTTTCTTGACTGTGCTATCCAATTCCCTTCCCTGGAATCGAATTGAGTTCTTTTTTGAATACACGTACTGTGCAAGTTTTGCTATACATTTATGGATCTTCTGTTGGTTTGAATGGAAATGAGGGTGGAGGGATTCCTTCCTAATAAGCAATGCAATCAGGATTATCTTATAGACTTAATGCTCCTTCTTGTAATCCCCATCTTTCCCAACTGAAGTATTTCCTTCTCTTTCTATAAACAGGATGGATTGCCAATTCTAGAGGGGAATTGCTGTGCTCCTAATTACTACCTCTCTGTGTTGTTTACGTTGAGCTGATTTAATTGGCCAAATTTGCATTTATCATATCTCATTCACGTATACTGTTCCTAGATATATGCCAGGTTGCAATATTGTTAAGAGTTTGGAAAAGAGCTTTCAAAAGCAACTAGAAGGGTGGGGTTTGTTTTTCAATTCAAGTCCAATAAGTACAGTAAATAAGTAATTCTGGAAGGACCTCTGGTTAAAGAAAACTGTCCTAGATATTATGAGTTACTGTGTTGCATTATTACGAAGCCTAACCATGAAAATCAAGGGCAACTTGGGAATGTACACAAAACATGAAGAATTTTACAGACCATATATTAAGTCAAAAAAATATAAACTGTCTTATTATCAAACATGAATTTAGTATTTGTAATAGAGCTGTTTTCCCTATCGTGTAAGACAGATTAGGAGAATGTATCTAGTTTCAAAGATGGGGTATCTGAAATGTCGGACTGTTTTCCTCTAAGCTGATGAAAGCCTATACTAAATCCTGACCCCAAAATAATACTTACTATTTAATTGGGTTGTGCAATATTTTGAAACCAATTGAACAGAGTGTGATAGAGCAGGGCTTTTCAACCAGTAGTACGGGTACCACCTGTGGTACATTGACACCTGGCAGGTGGTACGCGAGCATCCCAGAAAAGTGGTAGCAGGAGAGGGGAATGAGCTGAACCGGTGGCAGCACTGCACAAGCTTGAGTGAGAGATGGCTGGAGCTGCAGGGCTGTCAGGGCTCAGAGGAAGCATCAGGATCAGCGCTTCTTCGGGACTGTCAGGGCTCAGTGGAAGCGCCAGGATCAGCGCCAGGCTCCAGCTGGAGCTCATGCTGATCCTGGCACTTCTGCTGAGCCCAGAAGAAGTGCCGATCAGCTGGAATGTTGCAGCATCCCCAGGGTCTTGTGATTTACATTCAGATGCTTGGCAACTGATTCATATTTATGACGGTCACAGTGTCCCAGGGTCATGTGAAGTGACCAAAACCTGCCGCAGCCAGGTTTGACACCTTGCTAGGTGACTGGTGGTACTCGGATATTTCCATATCCTAAAAGTGGTACAGTGGGTGAAAAGGTTGAAAAGCCCTGCTATAAAGCAGCTGCATCTTTTCCAAACACTGTGCTATGTTTATGTCTGCCTATCTTCAAAGGACCCTCCTGGATGATTGTAAGTCGAGGATTATTCCTTTGAGAAATGTTTGTTATACAAATGCTGCAACAATCAGGTGCAATGCCTGTTTTTTTCCTCCCCGTTAGCTCTGTTCTCATACTACCGGGAGAAATGTGATGTTTTTCCTTACGGTTCATTCACCAATAAAACTAATTCTGAATAGCTTTCAAGTACAGGTAATGGATTAAAAAAATCAGTAGCAACCAGGGGAAAAAAAAGGACCTTCCCGGAATGTAATATGAAGCAATGAACATGCATACATTAGGGAAGTTATCCCTGTTATTAATCACGCGCAATTATTTCTCACAGATCCAGGGTTTCAAAGCAATTTTTGGTGTGCTTGTACGGGGTACAGTATTTGTGGTTTATTGAGTTGTAGAAACCAGGCCTCACATTAGACCTTAGTTACCTTATTTCTTGGCCCAAAATACAGTATGTTACCTAACACAACTGCTATGCCTTGTTAACTTGGGTTTCCCCACCCTCCTTACGCTAATCTATGACCGTAATAAAGATTTGATTGGATTATTTTCTTGTCAATCAGCTCCTAAGGTAAATCAGCCGTTAAGAGCACCGGAGTTTATTTCTAATAAACCGGATACCGGAACTATAAGTGTGATGTAATCTGAAAATCACCCCACCGATATAGGAAATGAAATGGAGTGAAAAAACAACAACAAGGTATCATTTCTCTTCATAGATTTATGAATAAAGTTAAAGACATTCTGATGATCCAACAGTAGACAAACTTCCTCAACCTGCTGTGCAGGTTGAAGCAGCCACAGGCCCTCCTTCCTTATTCAGTAGAAGAATCTGTTGAAATAACAATTTAGAATTAATTGTAAGTAACAACAATAATTGCTCTTAGCAGTAGTGGGGTGCGGCACATCAGGAGGTGTTAGTACAGGCAGGAAATTTACCAGTTGTAAAACAGCTACAATAATCTTAGGAGGGAACTTTGTGTTTCTTCTGTGTCTTTGGAATTATTGTTTCCATCATACTCCTCAAGACTTGTTCATGAAGACCATTGTTTCTCAACTGAAGTGTGCTGGCTGGGGAATTCTGGGAGTTGAAGTCCCTAGGTCTTCAAGTGGCCAAGGTTGGACACCCCTGGCTTAAACTTGGATGACTGCCTCTGATGAAACAAGCCATAGTTCATAAAAGCTTCTGCCTTTTAATAAAACGTTTTAGGCTGAAAATGGGTGCCAAACAGCCCACCCATCTCTTCCTTCCAAGACTAGTCAGAATTATTTCAAGCAAAGGGATCAAATTGTCAGCCAACCAATGCAATCATCTTTTCGTAAGTCAGAAGAATTGCATCTTCAAAGGCCACCTTCCACTAGTGACTGAAAGTCTCTTCATAGCATGGTCCCACCATCATTGGCCACATGACTTTTATTTTGGCACAGTGAGGGTTGGCTGAATTGGATAAGAAGAAGGTCGCTACTCTGGAAACATATCTGGATTTCTAAGACTGGAATGCTGCACCTGAAGATAAGCATCTTAATTAGAAGAAAAAAAATTGAATCTTTATTAATTGGGCTTGCAGGACTTTCTTACACCCACTAAAAAGGAGCACCCTGTATAGGCAGATATGTGTGTCTGCGTAATCAACACATGTTCTCATTGAGATGCCTACTTTTTTCCGCATAGCGCGCGGCAAGTGATATTTCGGTCTTGGGTTTATCCTCAGTATTTCCAGTGTGGTGTTGTGGAATAGCAGCATAAGCATTCAGGGATAGCCAAGAAAATCAGTGGATTTTCTCGTTCAAAAGCTGCAGTGACTTGAGGGTTTACCAAGGGTTGCAGTTCTACTTGTAATATTGAGAAGTAAGGTGAGCTTTAAAGAAGTGAAAAGGAGGACTAGGGGTGACATGATAGCAATATTCCAATATTTGAGGGGCTGCTATAAAGAAGATGGGGGGATCAACCTATGGGTCTACCTATTTTCCAAAGCACCAGAAGGCAAGCTATGATGCAATGGATGGAAACTAATCAAGGAGAGAAGCAACCTAGAACTAAGGAGAAATTTCCAACAGTAAAAACAATTAACCAGTGGAACAACCTGCCTCCAGAAGTTGTGGATGCTCCATCACTGGAAGTTTTTAAGAAGAGACTGGACAACCATCTATGTGAAATGATATAAGGTTTCCTGCCTGAGCAGGGGGTTGGACTAGAAGTCCTCCAAGGTCCCTTCCAACTCTGTTATTCTGTTCTGTTCTGTTCTGTAGGAACTTGATGATAAAATGTTCAAGTATGAGTAGATAGAGATGGCAGTCTTGAAAGTAAGAGTAAGAGTAATATCTCTTGATATTAACAAGCAAGCTGGCCTACATTTAATTGGAGCTGCAAAACCGAGCTTGAATGTTGGCATTCGAGGTCGCAGGTGTGCGGCTAAAAGTTAAAAGTCAGCGACTTGTTCTCAAATCACAACGGCCGAAATCTAGTTTGAAACCGTGTTCTTGTTCAAAGAGGAAAGATGGAAGAAAATACATTCAACATCCTGTCACTTCAACCCTCGCTTACAAAGAAGAGGCAGAAAATTAGGGCTGCTTCTCCAGGAGGTTTTACTGCTGTTTTGAATATTTGGCGTAGGGTTTGTGTTTTGGTGGAAAGTTGCTGAGTAGGCGTTTCCTTCTGCAGTTCAGGAATTTGGGAATAGTCTCGGGTTTCTGTACATTTTGCAATCTAGTTTTTCACACCGGCAGCTGGATTTCCAACCTGCTGGTTCTTTTTACCCACGGAAATTTGCAATTAACATTGAATAATAGGATGTTCGGAGATGGAGGCGGGTGGGACGTTCCTGATGTGTCTAGAAATTCTGGGAGCTGAAGACTTGCATGGTGTGTGCCGGAATAGCACCTTGGAGATCTTCTAGTCCAGCCCCCTGCTCAGGCAGGAAACCTTATTTCACATAGATGGTTGTCCAGTCTCTTCTTAAAAACTTCCAGTGATGGAGCACCCACAGCTTCTGGAGGCAGGTTGTTCCACTGATTAGTTGTTCTCACTGTGAGGAAGTTTCTCCTTAATTCCAGGTTGCTTCTCTCCTTGATTAGTTTCCATCCATTGTTTCTTGCCTTGCCTTCTGGTGCTTTGGAAAATAAGTTGACCCCCCATCTTTTTTGTGGCAGCCCTTCAAATACTGGAATATTGTTCTCCTGTCACCTCTAATCCTTCTTTTCTCTAGACTGGCCATACTCAGTTCCTGCAACCGTTCTTCATATGTTTTAGTCTCCAGACCTTTGATTATCTTAGTTGCTCTTCTCCCATAAGAAATTCAATATTTCGCTGCCTGTTGACCCAAGTGCATGCTTCAAAAGCTCTCATTGGCACTTCCATCCAAACTTATCCCCAGGTCCTCTTGAGTTCAAGACCTGATGACCACAAGAAAAAATTCACGTAGGATTTTTAAAACAAAAACAAAAAAAACCCACCTCAACACAGACTGTCTTGCTGCAGGGGTTTGTTTTTTACCCTCCCAATTTAGCCTTCATTTGCTGGGATTTCCAAATAAGTTCCTCTCCAAGCATCAACCAAATGCTACCTCAGCACGAATAAAATTGAAGCCTTTCTCCGGGAAAAAAATAATAATAAAACTTTTCTTGCTATGCTGGTTTGTGAATATTAGTAATTGTTAAATTTACTCAGTTCCAGTTCTGAGTGGGCGTTGAAGATAAGCAGGTGAATTCCCTGCAGTCAACAAGTCCCCAAGCCCTGATTGGAGGGGGTAGGAACTTTCTGCTCCTGATTCAGCAGCTTGGGAGAGGAGGAAAAAAATGTCCTTTGTTGACATTTCTCAGCTCAAAAACAGGAATGGAAGCCAAGAGAAGAAATGAGTGGGCAGATCCAGTTTTAATTAGATTTCTGACAGGGTTTGAAGTATTTCACTACCAGAGATATGGGCTGTAAATGAGTTGGAACATGGTTTCATGCCAACTTGGTGAAGACAATTCTGGATTTGAAAGTGGAGGGTTTAAGTACACTAATGCAGGGCTCCTCAATCCCCGGTCTATGGACAGCATCGGACCGCAGCATGCCAGGAATCGGGCCACACAAACAAATGAAACCCCATTCGTCGCCCTCCAGTCCACAGAAAAAAACCCACTCAGCAGAACCAATCCCTGATGCCCAAAAGGCTGGGGGGGGGGCACTATCCTAATGCATGTTAAAATACAGGTTAATATGAGTCCTATCCTATTCCATTTCTGGAGTCGTTGATAGCAACCTCCTGCAGTTTAAAAGAATTACATTTTTTATGAAGTGGCTGAGGGCTTCCACTCTCCTGCTTGAACAGGGTGTTGGACTCAAAGGCCTCCGAGATCCGTTCCAACTCTTTGTGTCAGCCTGCTTCCTTACCACAACGGCATCTCCTTGACTTCATGTGACAGCCTAGTTACCCAAAAGCGGTGTGGACAAACACAACCGCAGGAAAAAAAGAAGTTCCTTTTCAGCTTGCGAGCACACCCCTGGATTCTGAGCGGGTTCTTTCACCGTTCTGCGTGGTTTCTGTCCCCACCCAGTTCTCCGAAATGTGTGTGTTCCCACAACATTGAAGTACGCAATGGCAAAAACGGAGCTTGTCTGGCACGCCCTTCAAAGGGTTCTCCACAAAGAGTGGTGTTTGTGATGTCCCTAAGCCTGTGGCCAAGGCTGCTTGTCTTCCATGGGGCTTCCAGCTGTTTCTTAAGCCAATTTCAGAAAGTCCACTCCGGATTGCAGGGAGATTTGGGTGATGCTCTCTCTGGATTACAGCCACTGTGAGATTTGATTTGTTGTTCCTCTGCAACTTGTACTTCCCATCTGTGGTCCAGCGTGGACCGGTCTACAGCAGCTGCCTTTTACTCTTAGGGATGGTTCTCCGCTCATTAGTCCTCATGTTTTCTTTCCCAGAAGTCTGCAGACAAGGATGTCTTTACTCCCCTCCTCTTTCCCATCTGATGTCATTTGGGTTTAAACCAGCTCCTTTCTTTATTTCTCTGCTGAGACCATCATACAGTAGCTTGGATGCTACAGTAATCCATGCAAGATGGGAACAGGTTGTCCTTCCTTCCTCTGTAGGGATGTGGTAGCTTTGTAGCAAAACAGAACTGATTGTTCAGTGTAGGAAAAATTAAGTAGACATGTTGCTTTCCAGTACGATCATTTCCATTCCTTTTTTCCTGTAGTCCAACCAACAATAGTGAGAGCTTGTCCATGTCTATTTTATTCTTCAAAAACACTTCACAGGATTCTCCAGTTCCAGGTTCCTTCCTTCCTTCCTTCCTTCCTTCCTTCCTTCCTTCCTTCCTTCCTTCCTTCCTTCCTTCCTTCCTTCCTTCCTTCCTTCCTTCCTTCCTCCTCTCCTCTCCTCTCCTCTCCCCTTCCCTTCCCTTCCCTTCCCTTCCCTTCCCTTCCCTTCCCTTCTCTTCTCTTCTCTTCTCTTCTCTTCTCTTCCCTTCCCTTCCCTTCCCTTCCCTTCCCTTCCCTTCCCTTTCTCATACTATTCTGGGCTATTCTCCACAACATGATGCATCCACAAGACCTCCCCTTTATCCAACTGCAGATCTAGTCTCTTGATGGGAGACTGAAGAGTCAAGTTTTTCCTCCGCGGCTCTAAACCATCTCCACCCATCTCTCATTTGAACATGGAAAAGCTCATCTCAAATATTCAGGCTACACTTGAATTTCTGGCTTGGCAGATTTATGCAAAGCCGGGCATGCTGGCAGTTTGCTTCAGTGATGGCTTTGGGCAACAACAAGCCATTCTTGCCAATGCTCAGTTTTTTCCGAGCATGAATCATACTGCTAATCTCAAGCCAATTCTTTAGTAACAGTTTCCTCCTACCATATTTTGCTAGTAGCAATAGCAATAGCACTTACTTGCTGCATATACCACCCCATAGTGCAGGAGTCTTTAAACGTGGCCCTTTTGTGACTTGTGGACTTCAACTTCCAGAATTCCTCAGCCAGCGTGCCTGGCTGAGGAAATCTAGGAGTTGAAGTCCACAAGTCATCAAAGGGCCAAGTTTGAAGACCCCTGCCATAATGCTTTACAGCCCTCTCTGAGCAGTTGACAAGATCAGTATATTGACCCCAACAATCTGAGTCCTCATTTTACTGAGTTTGGAAGGATGGAAAACTGAGTCATCCTTGAGCTGGTCAGGATCGAACTCCAGGGTGTGGACAGAGCTAGCCTGCAATACTGCATTCTAACCACTGTGCCACCAGGACAACTAGTAAGTGAGACTGGAGGATAAGCCTGCAAGATTAGCCCTCACAGCACTGAAGAATGATCCATGGGCCACTCTTCTTTTGGACCCTACAACTCCTGAAATCATACTTACTGGAATTCAGGAGCACCCCACCTCTACAGACCAGTCGGTGGTGGTAAATATGCAAGAATGCACACAAATAAGAAATGCAGAGGTTCAGTAGATTGACCCTAGGTGGGGATGGAGGGTAGAGAAGACAACAAGGTTTGTTATGGACTTAGCACACTTCAAAACACCCAAAAGAACCGAAAGTTGAAATCCACAAACCATCCAAAAAACACCAATCCCTCTTGGAAATCTGAGCTCCTTCCTAAAAGAGCATTGTGCAATCATTCTGCTCCACTGCTAATCTTGTTCCCCCGTTCCCATCATTTGTCCCCCAAATGTTTGGCCTTCTATTAAGAAAATGTTGCTCATCCTGACTATGAATGGCGGGCCAAAGATTGCAAAGAGTTGGATTCCAAGCCCAACTCCATTTAGCTCTGAAGTTGTGAGTTCTGAGTAGCTCCATGTTTTCTCACTCTAAGTAAGATCAAATATAGCTCCTTATGGAGTTTTTATAAGTAAAAATAGAAAAAAATAAGCATGACGTATTGTTTTGATTATTTAGATAGGATAGATTATAGAAAGAAAAGAGGTCTAATTTTTGAGAAAACTTGAGATAAGTTTATAATTGTACTAATAAGGGCTGTAAGGAAAGACAGAAGCCAGTTCTTTCTATCTTTTTTCTTTCCTTTTGACTTTTACTTTTTCTTTCTTGCATTTTTAGCTTTCTCTCTCTCTCTCTCTCTCTCTCTCTCTCTGTCTCTCTCTTCCTTTTTCTTTTTTTCTTCCTTATTCTATATCAATTTGTATTAGTGTTTTACCTTTGGTTTTAAAACTTTCAACAAAGTTATATTAAAAATTAAGTAACATTAACTATGTGATATTAATCCCATAGAGACATATCTGCAGGGTATTGTTTAAAAAAAAATCAGGATGGCTGCCACAGTGGAACAATCAAACCCCTATCCATTTTTGATGTCTGTTATATGTAAAAATGCTTCAAGCACAACACTGAGGGACTGTCTTGATTTATCCCCCCCTAATCTACAAGAGATCCTAGTTTCCATAACAGGTGTCTGTTGTGAGTATGGCTTTTTTGGAGCATCAAGAGAAGGCTGAGGACCATCTGCTTGCCTTCTGCTTTGTTTTACAGGAATAATCTGGTTTTCATTCTTCCCTCCTAGTTGTATCTTTGTGCCAAACTCTGGAAACTACGCGGTGTGAGAGAGCCCGTGTGAATCATGCTGTCTCTTGGCGCCATGAAAGGTATATTATGGGATGCTTCATCCCTAATTGTATAATGTGCTTCCTTTAAACCTGATGCCTTGGAGTTATGCTATGGGGTTAACTACAAATGACAACACAACTTTATTACTGTTAAAAGTCCAGAAATCAGACAAAACAAATAGAGATGAGTCAGGAGGAGTCTGATAGCTCTTTTTAAGACTAACACATTTTATTAAAAGTTATAAGCTTTTATGAGCTACAGCTGATGGCATCAGATACACAGAATAATTAAGGGTTTCAATTATGCTGGATTTAAATAATTGCGCAGATACAAATTATGCCTGAGACAAATTAAGAGTCTTTTCTCAGTTAACAATTATAATGCATTCAAACTGTATTTATTTGTTGAGACCTTCTGAGATAGCCTGAAAGTTGCTGATGAATGCGAGTTCCGTACTTATGCCAGTGAAATTTCTCTTTTTCCAAAAACAACCTTGAGATCTTTAAAAACCCCTTTCCTCTTGAATAATCTGGTCAAAACCAGACAGTGTAGAATGAAAAGGTCCCAAAGACAAGTCTGTAGTCCAGGCTCTCTAAGTTCATCTAATACTCATTGGATTCTCTGTTTTTGGGGGGTTCCAACTTCTTCTTGATCCATTTTTTTTTAAGATGGCACCATCCTACCGAGTGAGGAAGACCGGAAACGGATTATTACCCAAATGAAAGTAAGGACAACTCTGAAAGGAGACAAGAGTTGGATCCATCACAGGTCTGATTCTGAGGAGAAGCAGAACCACAGTCCTTTGTGAGTATGAAGCAACTCTGCCTTAAAATTTGCTCCAGTTTCCTGAATGTTTTCTTCCCTTGAAAAAAAATGGGCTTCTTTTTACTTAGCTCAGGGTTAGGCAACCTTGGCTCTTTTATGACTCGTGGACTTCGATTCCCAGAATTCCTGAGCCAGCATGGCTCAGCTTGGAAACCTCTCCCTTTCCCCTCAGCATGGCTGAGGCCTTGGTGCACAAATCATCTCTTTCAGAGCACAGTGCCAGATCCATTGCTAATCTGAGGTGCTTCGTTCTGCCTTGTCCAACTAGAACGCTAATGCCCTTATTTTGACAATCTCTGTCTTCTTCAGGACACCTTGTACAGCTCCATCTTCCCACAGAGAACCACAGTCTCCTTCAGCGCACAAAAATCTTTCCTCAAAGTGAGTATGTTGCTATTTCATTATATTTTAATGGTGATATTATACCCATTATTTATTTATTTTTTAAAAAAGACACTTCCGCAAAGATTGATCCCTTGAGTTTTAAGCGCAAGATAAAATGCTCAGAGCACCAAGGATGCTTGTGTAACCGGGGAAGATTTGGGTTCCTTTCAGTCGTCAAGAAAGTCATGGGGATGCTCATCTCTGATTAAACAGCTCAAAGATTTTATCTTTCTCTTCCATCTAGTTCTTCTACTGCTACATCATCTGGATATCTCATTAGGTGAGTCAAAAGAAATTGCAGAGGGGCAAATGCATCCACAGAGGAATAGTTTCAAGTTCGTGTGAAATTATAGTACCGCTTTATACTGTACTCTGTTGAAACCACACTTGGAATGCTGCGTCCGGTTCTGGTCTCACCAAGATACAAAAAAGATGTTAGACCCTAAAAAGAGTGCAGAGAAGAGCAACAAGGATGATTAGAGGTCTGGAAGGTAAACCATGCAATGAACAATTGAGAGAACTAGATGTGTCTAGTCCAGTGGTTCTCAACCTTTCTAATGCCGCGACCCCATAATACAGTTCCCCATGTTGTGGTGACCTCCAACCACTTATACATCACCGGGTGCCAGGGGCCTGGCCAAAGAAAAGGGGGAAAAAATGGCGGACAGCCTTGTTTGGCAACCCCCGTGAAATGATCGTTCGACCCCAAATGGGGTCCCGACCCACAGGTTGAGAACCACTGGTCTAGTCTAACAAAGAGAAGAACTAGAGGTGATATGATAGCAGTCTTGCAGTGTTTGAGTGACTGACACAGAGAAGAGGGGTCAACATAATCTCCACCTGGGGGCAGGGTGGAAGATCATTAAAGAGAGACCCAGCCAAGAACTAAGGAGGAATTTCGTGAGAGTGAGAACAATTAATCAGTGGAATGGTTTAGAACAGGGGCCCCAACCCCCGGTCCGTGGTCTGGTACAGGGCTGTGGCATGTCAGCAATCAGGCCACTGTCAATGATCCTTACCGGAACCATGAGTTACGAAGAACACGAAGACAAACCAAAAAAGCCCCATCCATGGGATGCAGGCAGCACACAAAACCATGTACTCTCTGGTCTGTGGAAAAATCTCTCTCTACATAACTGGTCCCTGGTGCCCAAAAGATTGGGGACCTCTGATTTAGAACATAGAACATAGAATAACAGAGTTGAGAGGAATCTTGGAGGTCTTCTAACTCAACCCCCTGCTCGAACAGGAGACCCTAGCTGTCCAATCTCTTCTTAAAGGCCTCCAGCGATGGGGCACCCACAACCTTTGAAGGCAAGCTTACCTCTGGAAGTTGTGGATGCTCCATCACTGAAGGTTTTCAAGAAGAGATTGGACAGCCATTTGTTCAGGGTCTCCTGCTTGAGCAGGGGGTTTGGACTAGAAGACCTCCAAGGCACCTTCCAAGCCTATTCTATGTTCTATGTTCTAAACTGAAATAGGAAAGAGGGAATGGTTCGTTTCTTTCAGTATCTGGAATTCCTGCTGTGCATGCTGATCGTTTTGTGGCTTCAATAACACAGAACAGAGGGCGGAATTGATACAAAAGCAGTCAACTGAATTGTTTTAGAATCCCAGCAGAATGTCAGAACTACTCATATAAACCTAAGTAGGACGAGGGAATGCAATGGAGTGTTCTGTAAGAGGGCACTGACCATCCCAGTTCCAGGTTGCAAAGGTCGCAGTCTATTCACCTGATGAAATTTGCCCCAGGAATTTTCTAGGTCTCTCTTTTTCTTCTAGGGGAGTTTTCACCAAGACCATTGATAAGTCATCTCCTTCCAAGCCAGCATCCAATGGGACACAGAAAAGGTTGGTCTAAGAGTCAACTTTGTTAGCCTGGTACTAAGAAGAAGTAGTAAGTTACTCACCTGCAACAATTTTTGCTGCATTTCTACGATACCCATGACTGGATGTAACAGAGGGCTCCAATTCTGTCTTGCTAGAGCCGTGCCTTCAACCCACAAAGAACTGCATGCATTTTCCTGCATGCGATATCTTGTCGTTCCTATTCTGGTCCTTTAGTCCAGCTGTGCCTTTAATTAATTAACATTCAATTAAACAGTGCCATGTGTTGAGACCTCAAAAATAGTTGTGACATCGGCTGTCTAGAATAGTATTTTTCCAGCAATCACCAGGGATGGAGATCTGTATAACTCCCTCCTCCCAATGCTTTTAAAATGAAAAAAAATACTTATTTACAACAATGACATTAAAGCACCCCATTAGTTTTTGGGTCTATGATTCTCTTCTCAACCAGCAGCCCCTCCCTTTGTTGAATCTCCCTTCTTTTCAGTATCAAGAGCCCAAGCCAGACCTCCCCCTCCACCCAAGGGCCCAAGATGTCCACTGAGGATTACAAAAAACTGTGAGTATCTTAAAGTAAAGACGTAGGAGCAGCTGCAGTGCCACCTGGAAGCACAGATAAGAGTCTATCTGAGGATTAGTGTTTATTTGCGGGTAATTAACTGGGGGGAAAAAAAATCTCACCTCCCACTTTCTCTTTTATCTGTGCTTCAGAGCTCCCTATAATATTAAGCGTGAACTCTCATACCCAGGAGATGGACAACCCTTTGTTTCTCCAGAGGAGCAGAAAAAGAGGTACCTTGATAAAGTCTGGGATTATGGAGTCCCTGGTCTTTGGTGGTTTTCTTGCAGACATTTCTTTACCCAAGTAGCTATCATCATCAGTGTTAGGAGGGAACCGGGGTTTGCAGAGAGGAAGAAGGAGAAAGAAGGAGGAGAAAAAAGAAAAGGGAGGAGGGAAAGGGGATGGGAAGAAGGACTGTGAGCTTGGTTGTTTCTTTGCAGACATTTCATTACCCAGCTAGGAACCATCATCAGTGCTAGAAGGCTGGGGAGTTGTAAGGGAGAGGACAAGGACGAGGAGGGCTAGGAGAACTGTGGGATCCTTGGATTAGTTTGGTGGTTTTCTTGCAGATGTTTCATTACCAAGCTAGTTAACATCATCAGTGTCTCTATCAAAGGGATGTAGTGCTTCTGAGTGAAGTCTAGAGCCTTCTCTTTTTATCTAGCAATAAATGCATTCAGAAGTTCCACAGTTGGGAACAGAGTAGTTATCAATTATAGAAAACCCCATTTCTGCCTTCTCTGGATTTTTTCATACAAGGAAGGGAAGGGGGTGAACAAAGGGGCTTTATGGCCCTTACTTCCTTCGGTACAACTTCAAAGGGATTGAATGTGGATAGCACCAAAAAGGCCTAATCATAACAAAGGGGGCTATTACCTTTCATGTAGTTCTCTCTGAAGTCTCCATCCAGCCGGCAGTAAGGAAAAGGGGGTGGGAGTGTAATGCCTGAGACTGTCGCTGGAAGTAGGGGGGGATTGGGTGGGGCTACTGGGAAACCCCTTAAAACCTTGAATGGGAGAGCTTGGACCCCAAGTCCTGTCTAGAACGCCTGCAACCATTTTCTCTTAATAAAGGATTCCTGTTGGAAGAATTATTCCAAGAGTTCTGTCTTCTTAAGATGCAAAGTGGGGTGGGTCCTTACAGTCCAGCTAATTTAGTTCTGTCAACATGCAAGTTTTCCACTCCCATCTGGAGATTCCATTTTTGGTGTCTTTTTTTTTATATATAAAGTTTTTATTGGTTTTTTTCATGCAATTCAGTTGTACTTATTCAACAAACGTGTTGTCTGAGTTTATCATTCACCAATACAAATTTAATTCCTAATCCTTTATTCTTTTCTCCAGCCATGGAAAAGAGGAAGAACCTCTTGCCCAGATCTGCATTTCCCGAGGGATGGGGCCAGAATAGAACTTGGTTTTATTTTTATTTTTTTGTGAGCCAGAGTGTCATCTCCTTTTCCATCCCTTGTCTTGTAGGACAGAAGCTGCTAGCAGCGTGCTTAGGCGTACAGCCGGCAGGGAGCGCTCCTACGTCCTTTCAGCTGCAAAGAAAACTGGAGGGTAAGTCTGAGAAGGAACACCATGTTGACTGGAGATAATGGGAAATACGGAAGAGGTCATTCCTTTCATTGTCACAAATACAAAGACAAAACTCAGAAAATCAGTACCGTTACAGAAGCTGAATACAATAGTGAAGCATTGATATAAATCAGTGGTGGCGAATCTATGGCACGTGTGCCAGAGGGGGCACTCAGAGCTCTCTCTGTGGGCATGCATGCCGTCGCCCCAGCTCCACCTCCCCCTCCTCATCAGCAGTCCCCCTGGAGGAGAGTCGCCCCGGGCGCGACCTGCGCGGAGCAGCACAGCCAAAGACATGGCAGCCAGGCAGCAGAGACAAGATTCTGCCCTTGTGCCCACTGCACACAGATGATGCTGTTGGGTGTGAGCGGAAGGCATGGCCGCCATGGCGCTGCTGCGCCACCTGGGCAATCTGCGGTGGGCCGTGAAAGCGGTGGGTGGCCCCACAGGTAGGCGGGGTGGGGACAGAGTGGGAGGCAGATTGGGGGTGGGTGGGGGCGGGCAGGACAGGGCAGGGGGCAGGGTAGGGGCAGGGTTGGAGTGGGTTGGGACAAGGTGGGGGCGTGTGAGGGGGTGGGGCAGTTTTTGGGCACTCAGTCTCTAAAAGGTTCACCATCACTGATATAGATAGTCGTCAGAGTAACTACCATTCATTCAACCACCATTCAGACTTAGGACAGCACTGAACAAGTGGACATAGACCAGTCTTTAAGGTTCCGGCCATCGCAGCATCTTCATAGTCATGTGATTATGATCTGGGCACTTGGGGACCAGCTTGCAATTATGAGAAGCAGTAGGTGTGAACTTAAATGGACTCCAGAAGATGGTAGAGACAGGAAGACCTGGAGGAACGTTGTCCATGGGGTCGCGATGGGTCGGAAACGACTTCGCAATTAACAACAACAACAAAGCATCCTGCAGTCACATGATTGCCATATGTGACCTTCACTGCAGCATCCGACAAGCAAAATCAATGGAGAAACCAGCAGGAAATCGCAAATGGCGACCACATGACATTGCGCTTAACAATGGCGCAGGATTCACTTAATGATAGCAGCTGGAAGTGCTGGAACTACGGTTGCTAAGTAATGCAGTAGTATCATGTCATTTTTTATGACCACCTCACTTAGTGACAGAAATTCCAGACTGAATTGCTGCTGTTTGCCAAGGATTACCTGTATAGGATAATTAACTCTTCATTCCAGAAGGCAATCTGGCACAATTGAGAGACATTTAGAGCAGCTAAATTATTCTGATGGGACTGCAGATAATGAAGACAGAGGAAGTCTCCCTGCTGTAAAAATTATATACAATTATATACAATACAATTACACGCAGTAATGAGTGCAGATGTCCTTATGGCAAAAACAGTGGAAAAAAAAACACGAGCTAGGATGCTGATAAGGCCTACTCTTCATGGACAGCACTGGAGTTCATAGTAGATTCGGAAATAGCCCATTGGGGAAAGAAGAGCAAAGATTTTGTGAAATGGAGACGAGCCACAGAAAACTGGACAAGGAACTTAGAATAGAAAAGCTGCAGTTTCATAGCTACTGTAGATCCGTGCATTTGTTAAATGCCTCTATTTTGTTCAACAGCCTTAATTCACAAAACAATGACACTTAGAAAAGCTGCCGTTTTTATAGCAACATGCATGCATTTGTGAAGTGATTCTATTCTATTAAATAACTTTAATTTGCAAGACCGTGGATGTACTCGTAAAGGCATAACCTAATCTTTTGAACCCAAAGGATTTTTCATTTTTTTTATACGTAACCACAATCTTGTCTGTTTGCAGAAGTCCAACACAAGAGGTACCGGCCTTTGTGGCTAAGAAGTAAGTAAGATTATATTGCTTACCAATGTGAACAGAAATGTCTTCTATTATAACAACTGAGAGGGCAAAGGAACTCTATATTTTATTTGAAGGGCGTTTTCTTTTCTTGAAAGGATTGACGTGCCAGATGATTTCGGTCCACGATCCAGGAGTCATACTGTACCTGCCTCAGCATGGTTTAACGGTCGTGGGAAGAGGTAAATAACCGATTACTATTCTTCTTCTCATTGGTATTATTATTTACCATCATCATCCTTATTTTCCTCTTTTAGTATGAAGAAGACCATTTCTAGCTGAAATGGTCGACTTCCTTTTGAAAACCATGCAGATAATTAAAGAAAGAGCATTAGAAGAGTTTATGTTGTTGTTGTTGTTAGTTGTGAAGTCATGTCCGACCCATCGCGACCCCATGGACAACGTTCTTCCAGACCTTCCTGTCCTCTACCATCTTCTGGAGTCCATTTAAGCTCACGCCTCCTGCTTCAGTGACTCCATCCAGCCACCTCATTTCAGAATTTATAGCAGGCGCTAATATAAAGTTTTATTCTTCGGAACTAACAAAGCCACCCTCGAAAAAATAAAAGGCTAAATCTCCTTTTCCAACTTGTTTTCGATATCCGTATTTTATCACCCCATTCCCTAAAACAATATACATCCAACCATCTTGCACTAGGACATGCAATAGATTTAAACTTCTGTTTTGCTCGACTAAGATTAATCTTTCTGAGTCGGATTAGTTATGCCATGGTTTGTAGAGGAATCACAATATGCAAATTAACTGGACTGTTTTGGGTTTGTCAACAGCACTAATGGTGAAAGAAGGACTTCGGAGTCTCCCCAGAGTGCTTCTGTAAGAAGCAGGTTAGTATAATCTATAATTTTTTCCCCATTCAATAATATGGCAATCAACTTGGCTGCAAAACATTAATTTGCTTTGAAATTTCTTTTAAATGAGAAAAGAATTTTGGAAAGATATTTTTTTTTATTAATAATTTTTTATTTTTCCAAACTCTCCCCCATACATATACCGTGATATTTATCAGATGTTAACATACATTCTTTTTACATTCATATGTAAGATACTTTTAATAAAATGAAATAAATACATACACATGACTTTTGGTGTTGCTCACCCATTTCCCCTTTCACTGTATCCACACTCCTTCTCTCCCTTCTTTTTCCCTTTCTTCTCTTCCCTACTTCCCTCTTCTTCCTCTCCTCTTCTTTTTCCTTCACCACTCTCCTCCCCTTTCTCCCCACTTCTCTTCTTCTCCTCCAACCTTCCTAAATTTCTTCTCCCCTCCTTTACTCTTTTCTCTCTAATTTTGGAAAGATATTTATCAACAGGTAGTCAGACAGTGTGATGGCATACTGACACTGCTATTAGGAACTTAAGTGTGTCAAATTCTTTAAAATAGTACATTACCATTCAGCAAGTAAAATAATGTGTTGTAGTAGCCGTTAAGCTTGCAGGTGTAAACTTCAATTGCAAGTTGCTATCATGATCAGGTTATAGCCACTGTACATTACAAAAAGGCCCATCTCTTGTGTTCAGAGTCATATTATATTAAGGAAACAACCCATCATAAGGTCTCCATAGAGACAAGAAACTCTCTATGAAATTTAAACAATATCTGTGGAAGATTTCCGGATTTTCATTTAGCAAATGTCCAACATGGCTGAATCAAAAAGTCAGTCTCAGAGAAAAATAGGTTCAATGGAAGACATATAGCCATTATAGATCAGAACTCTGAATTGACTTTTGAAGGCTATTGGCACTCAATATGGTGATAAAAAAAAATAGATGTAATACTTACATATCATAGCAACTTTCGCCTACAAATATCTTGGACTCCACATTAAAGAATGTTTTTTTTTCTCTTCGCTTTTATAGTGTTGATACAAGCAGCAGAAGAAATGTGGCCTCAAAACCCAACCATGAAACTTTATTCAATTGCTCTACATCTGTGGAGAGAAGGTAATGTCCATGACAAACCCCAGATAAGGTATCTTGGATTTGTTGGTTTATTTGGGGATTTTCAAACTGCTTGTGTGTTTTAAGGAGCAAGATATTTTTAAACTTTCTTTTGGTTAAACTGGAGGCATGTTCAAGTGCAAAGTCTGCTTTTTTTGGATCTATCGAGTAGTGACCCATTGGTTGCAACAGGAATTGACTGACTGACTTCTCGCCCAAAACTGACATGTGGGTTGAAAGAGAGGAACTGGCCTAAAGTCATCCAGCCAGCTTTCATGGCTAAGGCAGAACTAGAACTCCCAGGCTCCTAGTTTCTAGCTTGGTGTCTTAACTATTAGACTAACCTGTCTCTCGTTCCATAATATCACATCTTCAATTTCTCAGTATGATTCTTTTAGCCACTCCCCCCATGCTTTATTCAACCATAGTTTGTTTTCCTTTTCCAGTAACAAGTCAGATGAGAAGTATGAAATGAGTTCTGGACATGATTCTGTCCCCAGTATCCCTACTTCTCCAAAAAGAAGGTAAAGTCCACACGAGTCCAAACTATTCTCTCTAAACTACCTGCAGGACAAGAAGCAAAGGGTGGAAGCATTAAAGAGAGACCTGGAACTAAGGACATTCCTGACCAATTAATCAACTAATCAATGGAACAGCTTGCCTCCCAGAGTTGTGGGTCCAACATCGCTGGAGGGTTTCATGAATAGACTGGACAACCATTTAACTAGGATGGTATAAGATGTCCTGCCTTGGGCATGGAGTTGGACTAGAACAGGAGTCTCTAACCCCCGGTCTGTGAACCAGTACCGGGCCACGGCATGCCAACCACCGGTCCGCACAAACAAGCAAAACCCCATCCGTGGGATGCAGGCAGCACACAAAACCATGCACTCTCCGGTCTGTGGAAAAACCTTTCTCCACGGAACCAGTCCCTGGTGCCCAAAAGGTTGGGAACATCTGGACTAGAAGATCTAGAACAGTGGTTCTCAACCTTTTTAATGCCGCGACCCCCAACCGGTCGTAAGTCAAGGACTACTCAACCGGTCGTAAGTCAAGGACTACTCAACTGGTGCAGCACCGTTTGCAGAATGGGACTTTTGGCGGGCTCAGCAGGGCAGAGACAGCCTGGACAATTCCTACTTTTGAAAGCCAATAGAATTAGACTCTATTCAAGAGAGTCTCTTCTATTGGTTTTCAAAAGCCAATAGAATAAAAGGGAGTAGCACAGCTAAGGAAAATGGCGGACTGCGTTGTTTGGCAACCCCCGTGAAATGGTCGTTCGACCCCAAATGGGGGGTCTACAAGGTCCCTTCCAACCCTATAATTCCAAATTGCCCAAGTAAACTATTTCTATCATTTCTCTTTTGATAAACTATGCAGAAAAAGAATAACCTGGGCTGCTTTTGAAGCCCTCCGTTATGAATACTGAGGTGTTTTGAATGCCCCTTGAAAAAGACTGCAGATGGCAGGGTGGAAGACAGGACCCTGGTGGGACTTCATTTTTTTGCGGTCTTCTACTGCTCACTGAAGAATGTGCAATGGCTCCAATTGGTGTTTCTTGAGTTTCAAGGCTGGCAACAGGGGTGTTTGCATGCCAGGCACATAAAAATGAGTGGGACTTCCGTTGCGCAGTGACAGGCAAATATCTTAACTCTTTTGACCCCCCCCCCTTCCCTGTGAATGTCCCCAACCAACAATGGAGAAGCTAGTTATCGGTCAGTTGTGGGTTTAGCAAGGAAGTACAAAGGACGAAGAAATGTTTTCTAATGTCACTTGTTTTCTAACCACAGTGAGAAGAACGAATTGCAGAGTCACACATTTTTTGACAAGTAAGCCCTTTTCAAAACAACGTTTTTGATTGATTTCTATCTTAGCCTTCAAGCAGATGTCTACAGAATAGTATCCTAGTCCCTTTTGGTCCTTCAACCCCATAATTCTGGAAGATAGATTGGGTGGAGGGAGAATGCTCTTAAAGACCCCCAATCAGCTTCTGAAGCTGAGAGAAATGAATTGCTACTGATTAGCGATATACAACATGTTTTGTGCTATAGCCCTTTTGAAAACGAAGGTTCATTAAATGCAGTTTCAAGCCATTTGTTTTGCAGGGATTTTGAATGCCAGATGGGAAAATGAGAAACAGGATCTTTATGGAAGACAATCATTTTCTCAACAGATCAGCTCTGGAGCTCAAACATGAAGACTCCAATGGAGAAAGAAATCCGAAGGATCCAGACTCAAAAGCTGCAGAATTGTGCCATTATCAGCCAACGACAGAAAAGTAAGAACTCCGGGAGAATTCTCAGCACTCAGTAAACCAAGATCATTCCACAAGAAAAATTCCAAATAACACGCCTGGATAATACTTGCCTTAATCCCAACAAGCACGTCAGTTAAATATTTATTTTGAGTTTTCCAGAGTTCTTGGATGCAGAACAAACACAGGTGTGCTAGACTTGATGGCCTTGCTAGGAAAAGTTAATGGGAACGGTTGGCCAGCGCCAGCTTGGAAGAACGATGCTCTAAGTAATTCCTCAGAAATTAATAACCCCCTTGCTTTACGGGGACAACAGAGCATAAGACAAATACCTTTCTATCATAGGGCTTATGACTCCATGGAAGCTCATGAGATTTGCTAGGTGATTTTCTCCAAGAAAAGGTGATTTAATTGTTTGCACATTTTAATTAATCTTCCTATTCAGTTTTCAAAATTATGGTTTCTCTCTCCATAAGCATACAAGCTAACACACACCCACACACACATACCTGCACATATGTAGAAAGAGAGCAAAAAAAAAAAACAGAAACAGAGAAAGACAGAAAAGGAGAGAGAAAAAGAAAGGAAAGAAAGCAAAGAGAAAGGGAGAGAAACAGAAACAGAAAAAGAGAAAAGGAGAGAGAGAGAGAGAGAGAGAGAGAGAGAGAGAGAGAGAGAGAGAGAAGGGATGAGGAGGGAAGAGAAAAACAACCAAACTCAGGTTTTCTTCAGTGACATGTCCAATTCTTCATCTATAGTGAATGATCTCTTTCTGTCTTCCTTTTTCATCAGGGAAAACACTGAAGTATCCCCAGGAATGGGCTACAGAACATCCACTCACTTGGACAACAGTGAGGCTGCTGACTCAAAGAGGTATGGAAGAAAAATGGGACAAATATCTCAGGACCCTGTCATTAGCCTGCTCCCTAAAAGATTTCTATTGCAAATCCTTGACTTACGATCACAAATGAGCCCAAACTTTCCACGGCTGAGCAAGGCAGTTGTTAAGAGTTTTGCCCCATTTTACGACTTTTTTGCCACAGCTGTTAAGCAAATCACTGGAAAAAATGCCCATCATTCCAGTTTGAATGAACCCACAGAAATCTAGAACAGTGGTTCTCAACCTTTTTAATGCCGCGACCCCCAACCGGTCGTAAGTCGAGGACTATTCAACTGGTCGTAAGTCGAGGACTACTCAACTGGTGCAGCACCGTTTGCAGAATGGGACTTTTGGCGGGCTCAGCAGGGCAGAGACAGCCTGGACAATTCCTATTGGCTTTTGAAAGCCAATAGAATTAGACTCTATTCAAGAGAGTCTATTCTATTAGCTTTCAAAAGCCAGTAGAATAAAAGGGAGTAGCACAGCTAAGGAAAAGGGGGGGGGGGGAAATGGCGGACTGCGTTGTTTGGCGACCCCGATGAAAAGGTCGTTCGACCCCAAATGGGGTCCTGACCCAGAGGTTGAGAACCACTGCTCTAGAAGGTAAAATAATAATAATAATGTATGACTTTCCTGGCAGCTTAATGTTTTGCATTTAAAAGCACTTCTAAAGCACAATTGAAAAAGAATAAAAATCTCCAGTAAAATTGGAGGTGGCAGGAAAAGGCCTGGGAACACTAGGCAGCAAGGTTTAAGAAGAACAGATCTGCCAATGTTCTTCTTTTTGTGGAGTCCTTGGTGCTCTCTCAGTTTGGTTGCTTCTTGCAGACGTTTCATTACCAAACTAGGTAACACCATCAGTGCTAGTCTGATTAACTCAGTGAGCACCAAGGGCTCCACAGTTCAACCGTGAGCTACAAATATTCACCTCTATGGGTTCTTTTTTTTTTTTCCAGGTCTGAGCTACAGCTTGAGGGAAACAACCTGAGTACCACTGGGGTCCAGTGTGAACTTTTAAGTACTCCCAAGAAGGAGGAATCAGATGTGGAGGTTTCCAGGTGAATTTTAGTTTTAGTAAAAAAACAAACAAAAAAAAACTGGTTTGGGAATAGCAAAATGTTGTGTACAACATATAAAGTTTGGGCAAAGGATTCTGGCTGGTTGAAATGAGGTACAATGTGATCTTTTGCTGCAAACTAAGAGACTACAGGTAGTCCTTGCTTAACGATGGTCCTTGGGGCCAGAATTTCTATTGCCAAGCAATATGGTCGTGGTGTCACATGACCACCTTGCTCAGCAACAGCAATGCTGGCAATCCCAGTTGCAATCATTAAGCGAGGACCATACTGGGCTGCTAAGCGAGGATCTCATGGGATCTTTTTGACTTCCTGCTGGCTTCCCCACTGATTTTGCTTGTAGGAAGCCAGCCGAGACGGACACAAATCACAAAGCGTGTGACTGTGGGACTCTGTGGGACTCTGGTTGCCAAATGCCCCAATTACAATCACATGACTGCAAGTGCGATGCAGTAGCCTCAACTTCAAGGACTAGTCATAAGCAGTGGTGGGATTCAGCCGGTTCGCACCACTTCGGCAGAACCGGTAGCTAATTTTTTGTTGCCCAGGCCCAGAATGGACTTCCAGAAGTGGCATCCACACAGAGAACCCGTTGTTCACATATTTGAATCCCACCACCGGTCATAAATACCACTTATTCAGTGTCCCCATAAATCCGAACAGCCTCTGGATGGAAGTCATTAAGCAAGGACCACTTGTAGAAATCCCTGTCCTTGCTTTGGGAGGACCAGAAGCTCAGCAGACCTTTTGATGCATCTGCCATACCTGTTTCTGCTCAAATGAGAATCCCTGGAGGGCAGAAGTATATAGATATTCCCTTTTCTTCCTTGGCAGGGGTAGTTCCTTTGCTACAGAGAGTAGAATTACTTCCCCACAGAACCAGTACAGAGACCAGAGATCAGATAAAGATTCAGACAGGTAAGGACACCTGTCTGCTCCCAACACCTTGGTGAAACCCTGTGGTGCGCAGAGCCATTTGTCTGGCTTTATTTTATATTTCCTGCCCCTTCTCCTTCAACTCAAGGAAAGCTGATTTAGCTTTGAAATATCTTTCAAAGAAGAAGAGAATGTAGGAAAGACCCTGATGAACAAAATGTGAAGTTTGCAGCCTTGTTCAGTAATGAAGTGGCCAGCTCTCCTATATTTTTAATTGTACAATCCTTTTGTTTCTTGGTTCCCAGCTTTCCATGGTTCCTTTCAAAGGCTCATTTAAAAAAAAAAAATCCCTCTTGATTCAACATGGCAGGTGGTAAGGGTGCATTCTCCTCACCTCAATCTGTTTGTTATACCTTTGAAATTAGCAAGTTGATTCTGGGCCTCAGTTAGAAACAAGGAAAGGAAAGGAAAGGAAAGGAAAGGAAAGGAAAGGAAAGGAAAGAAGGAAAGGAAAGGCAGCATAATTTTGGAATCTTCTAAGTTCCTTTGAGAAATAAGATTTGAGCTTCTGAATTCTTGGGTTAGATTCATATTTCTAGCTTTAACGTATTCAGCCAGGGGCTTCAAGTCTGATATGTAATAAAATCAGGACAAGCATGTGGCATTTGATGGACAAAAAACCCCATACTTTTCTTCTACGTATTTGCCTTTGAGTTCAAGAAGGACACCACAACTACTGGTAGATATTAATATCGGAGTACGGATGGACCACTATCTGCTATTAATGATTGTTCCTCACTTTCATTTCTGTCTCTCAGACTGTATTTTGGGACACAAAATACTGAACAGAGAGAGAAACAATCTAATACATTTGAAAGCAGATGAAGAACAGTTGCAGGATTTGGGTTTAACTAATCTAGAGAAAAGAAGGACTAGGGGTGATCATAATAGCAGTATTCCAGTATTTGAGTGGCTGCCACAAAGAAGAGATGGTCAACTTATTTTCCAAAGCACCTGAAGGCAGGACAAGAAACAATAGATGGAAACTAATCAAGGAGAGAAACAACCTGGAATTAAGGAGAAAATTCCTAACAGTGAGAACAATTAACCAGTGGAACAGCTTGCCTTCAGAAGTTGTGGGTGCTTCATCACTGGAGGTTTTTAAGAAAAGACTGGACAACCACTTGTCTGAAATGGTATAGGGTCTCCTGCTTGAGCAGGGAGTTGGATTACACCATCTCCAAGGTCCCTTCCAGCTGATTGATTGATTGACTGATTGATTGATTGCTACTGTACATGATTTTAAAAACCCAACATATTTCATCTTACTGGTGAGGGTAGATTTTTCTTTTTTTTAATCCCCAGTGATTCTTAGTTCATTGCTACAAGCAGCTGGAGATACAGTTCTGGGCCACATTTAGCTAAACCTTCACTTTAGGTGGGCTAAGTTGTTAGCTTGATAAAAGATTGTGGCTTTTGCGAATGGTGGATTATTCTGTGTGGGCTCTCACACTAAATTGAGTGTTAGATAGGTCTCTGGCATAGATACCCCCACTGAGGTGGGGGTGGCAAGAGACAAAACACACGTTGGGATGTCACAAGGCATGTTGTATCATTTGGTGTCATTGCTGTTAGGAATGGACACCTATGATTTTAAGTAGAAGAAATGGAGAGATACCTTCCTTAGTGTCAGCTATGTGCATGGTGGTTTAAGGCTCTGTTCCTTGATGGTCCAGCTTAAAAGGGGTCAAGAAGCACAGGATAGATCAGCACACTTTTTCTATCCTTCATTTTTAGTTTGGGAGGGTTCCCTGTTCATAGTTCTCATCTTCCTCCTCTGTTTTCTTTTGTTCTCCTTCTAGTTTAGATTTTAGTTATGCAAGGAGAGATTTCTAGATCCTACTTGTGTAACTTTGCAACTGTAGGATTCTTCAACTTAATAACATCTCTGTATTAAAAGTTCTTGGCGTCTCCATATATTCAAGTTTTAGCATTTCAGATTAAGTCATCTCCTTCTTTTCTGAAAGGGAATGCACAGCTTATACCAAAATCTGAATGTATTCATGGCTAGATGGTGCCAAATGCTAGAATTAAAAACGTCCATGGCATTCTGAGAGTGACGCACAAAACCAGGTTTACTATTAGAAGAGTATTCACATACCTTGTAAAGTTTCACGAACAGATAATAGGAAATTATTCTACAAATGCTTTTTGTCAATTCATGCATTCTTTTCCCATCATATAAACTTTATGTTTCTCGTGATCAGTGAATTTGTTCTAAGCGGTTTGGCTGTTACACAGCATATAGAGTGTTTTCCTTCTCTTGAATTGTGTTACATTTTTGTTTCATGGTGTTCAATCCCTTTAAGAACCTGAAATTAATTTTACTTTAGAGACCCTTTTTGATAATCTTGAAGATTATAGCTCATAGCTTATCCTGAACAGGAGATGTCCAAAAAGCATACTCTTTGCCAGGTGGTCATAAACATCTCATTAGAATAATTTTAATGATGTCCTCCTTTCTTTTTGATAAAAAACCTAATCTGCATTTTCACAGTCAATTGAGCTATGTTACAAAGAAGTATGATAAGGCATGTTTTAAAGACTGGATATATGATTTTTATTATGCGTTGTTTATCCATCTCTCCTCCTCATTTCCTATCTTCTGTCCCCCCCCCTCCAAGTTCTTCCCAGTGGATTTTGGGGTTCTAGTTTCTTCAGCCATCATGCTTCTTCATCTTGAGTTCTTTTCAAATAGCCAAATATTTCTGAGTGCTATTTGAAGAATTATTTTATACTGGACACATTTCATGAGAAGTAACTCATGAAATGGGCTACTTACATTCCTATCAATGTTTTTCTTTCTTAAGCTTGGAGTCATTTCTAGAGTTTGTTTTTCTTCTTTAGGATATTTTCATTTTCTCTTTCCTTTAATATCTTCTCCTTCATCATAATTTTCAGCATATTACTTGGATGCTAAAGCCTCTGAGTTCTAATAACTAACTTCCAAGTACATATGGTTAGGGTTGAAATCTCGGTTGTCTTTTCCATCTCTTGTTAGCATTACAATAGTTTGTCATTTTGCAAACTATTTGACATTTGCTTCTTCAACCCCAGGCAGATGTGGCTGGTTTTCCTTTCCATTCAACCTCTTTACAACTGGAGGATGCTACTTATTCCCAGATGCTTATTCCCAGAAATCTTCCCTGTTTATGGATTACCTAAACTGGTAGTTTCTGGAAAGTAACCTTCTAACCAACTATCCTCTGAGAGAGAGAGACAGGATTTCTTTTATTCTCTTTAGAGGGACTAACTACTTTTAGCATGTTAAACCAGTCACAGAAAACCCAATTTACAACCCTCTCTGTGTTGGACATTGGTCTCAGGATTTTTTCACATCCGGATCACCAAGCTGGCCATTTTATCAGATCTTCAGAGTCTAGGAATGGAACAAACAGGACCAATCAACTTTACAACCGCAGAATGTTGAAATTCAACCACGGAATAGCATCCTACTTGTACAATCAGCCATTCAACAACAGAAGGTAATGAGGCAATAATTCGAGATGAAAAGAAGTGGGTCATTTGTAGGGATGAGGAGATGGCCCAAATGTCCTACTTTAGAGAGGATGTATGTCTTCGTAAGTCTTGGAGGGGGCATTTGTCTATTGAAAAGCCTCATCAATCTGAAGAGCTGTCCAATTAAATAATTTGGAAAAGCGAAAGCAGGAACCCTAAGGAAGCTAATCAACATTTAGCATAGGGTAGCAAGCTATGGAGACACATACATTCTCCTGTCATTGTCTTCCTCCTCAACCTGAGATCTATTGCTGTTTGAGAGCCATAATTTCTAAATTTGCATCTTTACATATCAATTAGCACCCGTAGACTTGTAATGAACTTTTGGTCTCTTATGGTATAGCAATCCTTCGGGGGCGAGGTTCCTGGGCATTACTGGCATATTCTTAAGCCTTTATTTATCTGAACTATTTCTCCATCTTTAAGATTTCTAAGTCAATGTTTAAGAGCAAAGATTTTAAGGAAGAGAGCCCACTAGAATGTAGGAATCTTAAAGGAAGCGCCTTTAGGAACGACAGGAGAAATACGGTGTGCAAATCAAATCTGAGAAACTAACCCAGAAGCAGGTGGCATTTCTACGGTCATTCTGTTTTAATAAATGACAAATCACAAACGTGTCAACTATCGTATAAAGTAAAATAAATTTTTCTTAAAGCGCTGAAATGATCTGGCCAAGAAGAGGCTGTGTTCAACTGCTTTTTTTTTTTTTAAAGCGTTTTCTTGAAGATTCCCCTAACAATTACAAGGTTGATCTTTGGTAACCTCACACCTTCAGTGAAGAGTAGGGGGATGGCTTGCATTGTTTCCCCCCATGATACAATCTAGCCCCCCCCCCCCGGGGTAGGATAGGAGGCTGGTTTTACAAAGAGAGAATTCAGAAGGGGGGGGGGACAAACCAGGATGAGCATTGTGAAAAAGCAAAGTTTTAGTAAGCTTAGGACATTAAGTTCAGGACATTACTTGGTCTGAAATGGTATAGGGCAGTGATGGTGAACCTTTTAGGGACCGAGTGCCCAAAAACCACCCTGACCCTGCCCTGCTGACCATCCTACACACTGCCTGCCCTCAGGGACGCCCACTGCCTCTACGGCCTGCCACAGCAGATCACCCAGGCAGCCCCATGGTGGCCACACCCTCCACCCGCACCTGTAGCATCATCTGCGCATGACGGAGCGCGAGGGTAGAGTCTTGTCCCCGCTACCTGGCTGCCATGTCCTTGGATGCCCTGTTCTGCATGGGCCACGCCCCGGGGCAACTCTCCAGGGGGGGCTGCTGGTGAGGAGGGGGCCATGGAGGGAGGCAGGGCTGGGGCAACGGCACGCATGCCCACAGAGAGAGCTCTGAGTGCCACCTCTGGCACGCATGCCATAGGTTTGCCACCACTGGTATAGGGTTTCCTACCTGATCAGGGGGCTGGACTAGAAAACCTCCAAGGTTTCTACCCAACTCTATTATTCTGTTATTCTGTAATTCGACTAAACTGAGTAATATTCAGAATAAAGGTCTGGATCTTATCATTCAGAATTCCCTTTCTTGTATGTTCATTACATCATTTCATTTGTTGTTATGGGTATTTTTTTGGTGTGTGTGTGTGTGTTAAGACTTGAATTAATACCTATCTACATTTCTTCCTAGTGTGACTTACTATCCCTTCAGAGATGCTGGGACTAACGTTCCAAAAAGCCATAGAGTGCCTTTTTATAAGGACATCTGTGACACAGAGACCGGAAGGTAAAGTTAAAGAAGTGAATATACCCTAATGTTAACTCATATATGAATTATTAGAATATTTTTTAAAAAGAAAATAGGGCACAAAGCCCAGCTGAGTGACCTTGGGCCAGTCATTGTCTCTCAGCCCTAGGGAAAAAAAACAATGGTAAGCTGCTTCTGAAATGTTGCCAAGAAAAGTGCAGGGACTTGCGAGGAATCAAGACTAATTTGAAGGCACCCCCCCCCCCCAAAAATAAAGTAAATTTCCCCTTAAACTTAGGGTATCCGTTTATCTATGTAACCAACTATCCTACATCTTTTTGTCCTGTTTTTACAATATCTCAAATCATCCTGCAGATGGCATTACAATCACACATTTCTTGGATTCTTTGTATAGACTGCCTTTCCTAACGATTTTGTTGGGAGCCATTCATTTTTACAGCAGCTTATCTCAGAACCTGCAGGATATACCTGGATGGATAGATGCATTGTTATCCGTGTGTGTGTGTCGCTTGCACATTACTGACTTCTGTTTCGCAAAGAGAGGATGAAGGGAGAGGATCTTGTCTAGAAAGCAGGGCAACCATGTTTGAGTATCTGATCCGCAAACGTGATACTACAGTGTTCAGATTTCTTTCTCTTGCAGGACTCTGACTGATTCCGAGGCAAAGGATCTCCCTGCTTCCTTTGAACAGAAGAATTTTTCTAATTATGAGTCAGATCCCTCTGCCCCAGGGTAGCGTATACTGAAGAAAAAGGGGTTTTTTTGGGGGGGGAACTCTTTCTTCTAGCTTTTCAACATAGCAGATATTACATTCCTTATCAATCAGTGCCCCCTCTGAAATGTATATCTCTTTCGCCCCCTGTAGCAAAGGCCTTCTCTTTGTGAAAGAATCCATCAAAAGCATGGAACTGTCCTCCTCCCCACGTCACAACAGGTGAGGAAACCAAAGGGAAGACAAGCCAGCAGTTCTGTTTGCAATGCAGAAAAATCTCATGCCAACATTGCAATGTTTTATGGGACTCACATTTAGTTTTGGATCCTCTTATTATTTTCTCCTATTATCTTCACGTTCGTACTTTTTTCACTTACCGTTCTTGGTTCATTCGTGTTTTCTCCTTCTCCAGTCGCAGTTTGGTTGACTTGTCTGAACTTGAGAATCCAAGCTACAGCAGTTCCAGCTATCTAAATAGCACACCTTCAAAAAGGTAAAGCCAACCTTTGGCATCTTGTTCCTGTTGTGGATTGATACGGGATCCCTTCCAAAGCAGGCAACTGCCAAGTTTTCTTGAACCAGGCAGAAATGGGATTGTATTGCGGTCCAACGTATTGTGTGAACCTGGCTATTGTTTTTTGTTGGGGGAATTACCCTTGGTAAGGTTTGTTGGGAAGTGTTCTATGATTACAGGGATCACTGTTGATTTAGATTTTTGTGTGTTGTGTGAATTCAGCTAATTAATTGAGCAGAGCTTGTGAGTCTGAAATCCAGCACATAATTTTATCAAGAATTCAGTGTCAGATGCGAAAAGTCCACAGATGAAGGTCCAATTAAACTTATTTATTGATGCTCATGCCTATGCACAGGAGTCTTCCCAACTAACAGAACCTGCTTGGATTTAGATAAGGATAAACAGAATTCAAGGAGAGGGGTGGACTTAGTTCACTTGTGGCTATGCAGGGATTCTAGGCTGATCCCTCTTTTAACTCTGACCTCAGGTTTTGCCACTCCTTTTCCTAAGTCTGTGTTTTTAAGGGGGAGGCAAAAGACAAGTGTCGTCCTTGCAATTTCACAGATAGCAGGAGAGTACGCTGACATTAAGACAGTGTGCTTGACATACCTCTGTCTTCCGACATTTCACCACCAATTTTGCCCCCTACTGATAGGATTTGGCCATAAGAGCTCTCTGAGTTGCATATAGTGTAGAAAACATGAAGTTAGAAGAATGTTTACCACTGTCTTGGACTGTCATCATTTTCCTTTCTTCTCCTAGGTCTTTGGAAGATATTTGTACTTGCTGTGGCCGAGTAATCCGCAACTGTGCCAAGATATCAATTGAGAATCTCAACATCAGCTGCCACGAATACTGCTTCAAAGTAAGGGTGCTCCTTATAACTGTGGTATTCATGGAGCTGTGAGGAAGCCCCAGTTTGGTCTAGTGGTTAAGACACCAGGCTAAAAAGCAAGAGACCGTGAGTTTTAGTCCCATCTTAACCATGAGAGCCGGCTGGGTGACCTTGGGCTAGAGCAGTGGTTCTCAACCTGTGGGTCGGGACCCCATTTGGGGTTGAACAACCATTTCACGGGGGTCGCCAAACAACGTAGTCCGCCATTTTTTCCCCCCTTTTCCTTAGCTGTGCTACTCCCTTTTATTCTATTGGCTTTTGAAAGCCAATAGAATAGACTCTCTTGAATAGAGTCTAATTCTATTGGCTTTCAAAAGCCAATAGGAATTGTCCAGGCTGTCTCTGCCCTGCTGAGCCCGCCAAAAGTCCCATTCTGCAAATGGTGCTGCACCAGTTGAGTAGTCCTCAACTTACGACCGGTTGAGTAGTCCTCGACTTACGACCGGTTGGGGGTCGCGGCATTAAAAAGGTTGAGAACCACTGGGCTAGACTCTCTCTTTCTCTTAGCCCAACTTTCCTCACAGGATTGTTGCTGTGGCGAAAGTAAGAGTACGAAAGTGTGTTAGAGTTGAGTTCTTGTTAAAAATAATGAAGACAGGATACAAATAAATAAGTCAGGAGAAGAAAGTAGATGGGAACTTTCACTTCCTAGCTGCATCATTAAGTTTCACAGTTTCTGTCTGACACCCCTAAGCTTTAGCCTGTGAATTCGTGCGTGGTCTGATTTCAGTCACAGGGCAAATACATTCAAGATGGAGCCACTGGTTATTTGTTTAGTTGTCTAGCTGCAGAGCAACTGGTGCACCAGTCTACATTTTGTGTCCACAGCTAAGTAGAGAGCAACTGTTTTGCTTTTTCTCTCGCAGTGTGGAATCTGCCACAAGCCAATGGGAGACTTCTTGGATCAAATCTTCATTCATCGGGATATTGTCCACTGTGATAAGTGCTATGAGAAGCTCTTTTAGGTGAGCATGTTTCCAAGGGTTAGAGATCTGGAGATGTTGGTGGAGATCCTGCCTAGAGCATAGAACATGAAATCATGGGGATGGAAGGGACTTTGGAGGTCTTCTCATCCAACCCCCTGCTCAAGGCAGAAGACTTATGCCATTCCCGGTCCAATGGTTGTCTAGTTTATTTTTGAAATCTCCAGTTGTGGAGCATTGACAATTCCAGGAGGCAAGCGATTCCATTGATTAAATGTTCTTGCTGTCAGAAAATTTCTCCTTACTTCTAGATTGGATCTCTCTTTAGCAAGATTCTACCTGTGGCTTGTCAGCCTAGATGACATGTTCCCTATCCGATTTTCTCCTTAGATTCCAGGGATTGGACCAGCCTGTGCAAAGAGACGCCTGCCTTCATCCACGTGCCTGGGGTCTCCTAAGGACTCTTTGATTCAGCAAGCACCCTCTTCCTCATGTTCTCAAGTCATTCCTCCTTCCTCGTCTTCAGGCAGGCTAAGTGACTCACAATTAGCAATGGTGGAGTTAGAGTCACCGAGGATGCTACATCAGGAATAGGAGGGATTGCTGCCTTGGTTTCAAATAGCTGCATTTGGGGGCTCCTCCTGCACCTCCTGCAGTCTTGGTTGCTTGTCCAAACGTCCTTCTGTCCTTCCTTCCACGGTGGCATCTTGGATATCCATTCCTTCCACTGGGCCAGCAACTGATAAAAACAGGCGTTATACCAGGAATGAGAAGAAGCAGGACCATCTGTTTAAAAAAAAAAAAGAGGGAGGGAGGGAGATTGAATCATCAGGAGCACTTCTTATTCCAGTTATCCCTAGGAAGTCTTTAGCCACAGCTAGGAATGCTCAATTCCAAAACATGTGCCTTGAATGCCAAGGATTTTAAATGGGTGTGCAAAGTGTTTTGATTCCAAACTCTCAAGGCACCAGGCACAAAACACCTCCCCCACAAAAAAAATCTATTTCGGAAGCTTTTTGAGCTCGAAACACTCCAGAATTGCTTGACGTAAGAATCTTAAATGTTTTGCACACCTCTAAGTTTGCCTTCTGGCATCCCTGGGATGGATTTGATTTTGAAAGCATCAGGCACCCAGGTGATGTCTTCTACAGTCTTTTACCATGGGTTGAGACTAATGGGAGTTGGAATCCAAAGCGCCAGGAGAATCACTCCTTTGTTTATTCTTTTTTACCCAGAGAAGAAAATATTGAGTTAACTCAATGTTTTTCAAACTTGGCAACTGAACGATGTGTGGATTTTTGACTCCCACAATTCTCCATCCAGCATGGAATTCTGGAAGTTGAAGTCCACATATTATAAAGTTCCCAAGTTCGAAAAACACTGAGTTAAATGGTCCGATTGTCCTATTCAGTATCAGGCAGATTCTTCTGTCTATTGTCTACTTCTGTCTACTGTCTACTCCTATCATAATTGTCTCTCTGGGGGATAACTATTTTAGAAATATCTTTGATTTTGTTGTGAGATTATACATTCTTCATTGTTGGGAAATCAGTTACGGTTAATTTCTTACACATTTGTATCCCATATCTCTAAAAGGATAAGTGTATATGCAAGATAACATATTTTTTGCAGTATTCTTCAGTTCTAATTCCTTTACACCTATTCTTTCCAGACTCAACTGAAGAGAGTTATACTGAAGCTTTAAACTGGATATTTAGCTAGTAGCTTAATATATTTTTGTATATTAACCAAAAATCTGGAATATAAATATGGGGGAGTAGATGTAATCATTTTTTCTATGATTAGTTTATTGGAACTTCTAACAAACAGTAAGAAGGGGAAAAGAAACATAGCCTCATTTTTAGTCTCTGTTTTCTGCACACTATATCAATTTTAACTTGGGCCATTGCCTATTTCCAATTGCCAGTGCAAAGCAGTGAGAAGTAGGCTTCTCTCGAGTTAAATTCCTTAAATTACATGGGAAAAGACCGTGGACATTATTCAGTGTGGGAGCAGAGGCTCCATCTACAGCAGAATTAGCTTTGCATATTTTGAAATAAATAAAGCAATATACATGATAATCTCAAGAAGGAGAATGCTATAACATCTCCAATAACCCAACACTGCTGTTTTATGATATGAATGTAGGTGTTGCGCAAAAGATTCCCTATATTTTGTTTATGGAATATTGGAAAAGAGAGATGTTGAATATCTCCAAAAGCATTTTCTCTGAATGCTGCTAAGGGAAGGCCTTCTACATTTGATAGGAGCAATCGGGGTTGGGGAGGTGTTTAATTCTTTCCTTGAAGGTCAAGGTCAAAAAAGGGGTATCAGAATTCACCTTCCCAACTGCTTGATTCCAGAACATCAACAAAGCCAGCAGATCTTGGCAGCTTGCTAATTGCAGCTGTCACAATTTTCTCTTCCTGGAGGGTTAGAAGCAGGATGGTCAGCCAAACTGGGCATGCGTTTTCCTCTTTCCCTCCTTACGAGTTTTCCTTTGCTAAGAAGGATGGTAGAAAAAGTAGCTAGATGTAAAAGATGACGTAATCTGGACTTCATCCCATAATGCTGAGACAGGCAGATTACACTTGCTTCATCTAAAAGGGCACATTGAAATTTTTGTTGTTGGAAAAAATCAACCAAATCCTTGACCTCCCAGAAGGTCATATTTAGCTGCATTAAATCTAACTTAATGAACAATTCCTATCTTCACAAGTATTAGTCCTCGGTATAAAACTACTGCCATGCCCAACCCATCATTCTCCAGATATGTTGGACTCCTATTTCCATAATCCTGCACAGGGCTTAGCTGGTGCAGAATTACAGGAACCTTAGTCTAGCATTTTGGGAAGGCCTCTCAGTTGGGCAAATCCCAAGTCAGATAAGGTCTGTTTTTTTTTAAAGTAAATATTTATCTTCTCTGCTGATTTCCTTTTAATGTAAACTTTTGCTTCCCATTCATCGTCCAAAGGTGGAGTTTTGCAAACAAGCACAATTGACCTAAGCAGCATGTGATATTTTAGACAGAATTGAACTGCTGTTCTATTTCCTTGAGGACTTGTATCATGGAAAGATTGCTTTAGACAGGCACCGCCAGGTTATTACAAAATGTTATTTTTGTTGCTGTGTTGTTCTTCTCTGCCCTTCTGGTTTCGCTGAAGCAAATTCTAAATTGCCACATTCGGTTCTAATAAATATTCTGTGCAGGCAGTTGATCCGAGTTCTTCATTGAATGGTGGGATGTATTTCCCAATGCAATATTGGTTGGTATCTTACCATAGGAGCCAAAGAGACATGCATGGGTGTCATCTGGGCACTGCTGAGATGCTATAAACCACTCTTCAATCAGCACAATGCTTGGATGTCGTTAAAAAAAAAAACACTCTGGGTAACAAGAGACAGTCTGGCCAAAGACTTAGGATTAGGTTTTAGCGTTGTTGCATGTAACAAACGTGCAATTCCCAGTGGCACTCTCCAGACATGCTAGAACTGGTAATGGCCACGTTGCCTGGGAATCCACGAAGCTGCAGTTCCCAGAATATTTATAAATCCCGCCAGTTGGGTAAGGCTAAAATAGACCAGAAAGATTTGGATGTTGAGAGACTGAATACATCTGCTGAAGAGGCTTTAATTAGAATTAGAAAATATCATGGAGCCTGGAGGAAGTCGATTAGAATTATATTCTCTTAGCATTCCAAATATTTAAAGTGAAGTTGCTTTTGAAACTTCTGCACAGTTGTTGAATGACAAACTGTGGGTGGGGAAAGTTACCTTCCAATACTATTTCTCTCTCAAATATTTGCTGGTGGTATACATGATGGGTCAAAACAACAGCCACCATTCATTCATTCATTCATTCATTCATTTCTATAGTCTTCCATCTAAAAATAAGTGATTTAGTGCATAGCTTTACGCAGGATTGGGAGTTTGCTGGGGCTGCTAAAAGTATGCAGAAGGCCCCAGATTCAAGTGTCTCCTTGCCAGCCCCTGCAGAGACATTTTGATTTTTTTTTTAAAAAAAATAATCTTTTACTGTTCGCAAAGCATTTTTTTTTAAAAAAAAGCACTTTCCTTCTTCCCCTGATTCAAGCCACAAAGAAAGATCTGATGCTCTTCCATCTGTGCAAACAAACGGACAGGCTTGGATACAAACGGGGTGCAATCCGAGGGGCCTTCCCACCCAGGGAGGGAGGGAGGGAGCCCCGCAATAAACTGCACGCACTTCTTGCAAAGCACTTCTTCTTCCACCTTGGGCAGGGCTCCTTCAAACTTGGCCACTTTTAAGACTTGGGGACTTCAACTCCCAGAATTCCCCAGCATGCTGGCTGGGGAATTCTGGGAGTTGAAGTCCCCAAGTCTTAAAAGTGGCCAAGTTTGAAGATCCCTAGCCTAGGGAGGAAAAAAAAAAAAAAAAACCAGCCACACGCGCAGGCGCACTAAAACCCGTTTTGAGCGCCTCGTCGGGTCTGCGCTGGAGCGCCGGCTCCCGTCCCTCGCCCTTCCCTCTCCGCCTCCCTTCTTTCAGCCAATCCCTTTTGCTTCCCCGGTCCCGCCTTATGCAAATGACGGCCCGAAGTTAGCGCCGCGGCCAATCGGGACGAAGAGGGAGCCGGCCAGGGAGCAGCCGCGGCAACAACAGAGGTGGCTGGGACTGCGCGTGCGCACGGCGGCGGCGGCGGCGGCAGGTGGGTAGCGGGGAGCGCGGGCTCCGAAGGTCGCCTGTTCCCCCCCCCCATCCCAGGCTCCCCTCAGGCTGGGCGTCGGGCCTGGTTTCCCCCCCCCCTCAAATTTCAGGCCCGGGTCTTCCCCACCCTATCCCCCCGGCCTCCATCCTTCTCGATAGGCCGACCTCCAGCCCTCCTCGCTTCCCTGAAAGGGTCCTGGCCTGGCCGGGCAGGTGAAGAAGCCCCTCGCCTGACTGGACTGGCTCTTCAGGCCCTGGGGCAGCTGTTCCCCCCTCCCCTTATTTTGGTGAATTCATGTTCTCTCTATGTTGGGTGGGTGGGGGGATCTTTATAGGGGGGGGATTGAGGGGTCCTGGGGGGGGGTCTCTGAGCTGGGTGGTTTTCTGGCAGACGTTTCATGACCAGACGAGGTAACATTATCAGTGCTAGAAGAGAGAGGGGGGTTTGTAGAGAGGAGGAGGGAGAGGGGGATTGTGGGGTCCTTGGTGCTCTCTGAGCTTAGTTCAGGGGGTCTTCAAACTTGGCCCTTTGATGACTTGTGGACTTCAACTCCCAGAATTCCTCAGCCAGCATATGCTGGCTGAGGAATTCTGGGAGTTGAAGTCCACAAGTCATCGAAGGGCCAAGTTTGAAGACCCCCGTTTTATAGTGTTGTTTTTCCCTTGTGGTCAGCCACCCCTTCCTCTTTACCCCCCCTCCCCAGTTGGGGAGCATCTCAATTTAATCGAGAGACTCAAACTGGTCTTCAAATTTGGCCCTTTGATGACTTGTGGACTTCAAGCTGGCTTGAAGAATTCTGGGAGTTGAAGTCCACAAGTCATCAAAGGGCCAAGTTTGAAGACCCCTGGCTTAGTCTTGCAGATGTTTCATTCCCCAAACTATAGGTAACATTATCAGTGTTCCAATAGAGGGGTTTGTGGAAGAGGGAGGGAGGGGAATGTAGGGTCCTTGGTGCTCTCTGAGCTTGGTAGTTTTCTTGTAGGCGTTTCCTTACCAGATTAGGTAACATCATCAGTGCTAGAAGGAAGTGGGGTTTGCTCTCTGTTTATGTACTAATGGCTGGCCCTGCCAGTGAGCAACCCGCCCCTTCTCTTCTAGCACAGATGAGGTTAACCAGTTGGGTAAAGAAATGTCTGCAAGAAAATCACCAAGCTCAGAGAGCAGCAAGGATCCTATAATCCTCCTCATTCTCATCCTCCTTATCCTCTTTATCCTTCTCAAGCCTCCTCTCCTGCAGCACGGATGAGGTTACCTAGTTGGGTGATGAAACGTCTGCAAGAAAACCACCAAGCTCAGAGAGCACCAGGGACCCCCCAGTTCAACCCTGAGCTACAAAAATTCTCCTCTATCAGAGAGGAGGTTTGCTAAAACTAACCTGTCTGGGTAGTACGTGGTTTGTAGCTCTTTTCTGTCCCACCCCCCAAATGTTCCCCTCTTTTTCTTTAATTTGGGGCAATCTCATTCCTGGATTTGCTTTGTGGGAACTCTTCTCCTGCCCTCCTCTTTCCCTGCAAAAGCCATCCTCAGATAGGGGTGGAGTTCAGAAATAAAGGAGGCTCCACCTGTTTGGTTAGGACTGCGTGGCCCTCCCTCCTTAAGACTCCCCAAAGGACAGCATTCCTTCTCCATTCACCTATTTCTCTTGAGAAGGACTTTTGTCCTACTTGGGGGTGTTTCAGGGGTGTGTGTCTCTCCGGGCAGGTTGTTCCGGTGTTCTCCTTTTTTTCTTTGCAACATCAAATCCTTCCCTTGGAGAACACAGATTGGGACACCTTCTTCCCTAATTGCAGGGGGGGAAGCAGTTTCTGATGGTAAGGTAGTCTCTTATGTATTTTTTTTTTCCTCCCTGTTCCGGTGACACTGCACACATCTTTTTCCTCCTCAGCTCCATGCAATTCCTGATGCCTTGGGCCGTGAGATCATCCAGTGAGACCAGGGAGGCTCTGTTGCTGTGGTTGTGTTTGACAGATGTGCGGGTAAGAATTTACTCTTTGGAATGGGTGAAGGTAACGGAAGCTAGAATACTGCCCTTTTCAGTTGCGGTTGTACTTGTGCACGAGTTTGTTGAATCGCGTCAGTCTGCTTGAAATAGAAATAGAAATTGTGAAATGCAATCTTACGTTTTCATTGTATTTTTTTAGTTGGCCTTCTCTTGTAAATTGATTTAACAAAAGGAGACTGTTTTATAATTTGGGCAGGGCAGTGTAATTTGTGTTGTGTAGCATTAGACCCGTTTATAGTTTTGTCCTGATGCAAAAATGAGATCTATGAGTTGTCTTTAAAAACACGTGGCAATAAGACAGCTGGTGTCTGGTGAGAATTGCTACAGTTTTGTTCTCAGAAATTTTCTTTCTTTCTTTCTTTCTTTCTTTCTTTCTTTCTTTCTTTCTTTCTTCCTTCCTTCCTTCCTTCCTTCCTTCCTTCCTTCCTTCCTTCCTTCCTTCCTTCCTTCCTCCCTCCCTCCTTCCTTCCTTCCTTCCTTCCTTCCTTCCTTCCTTCCTTCCTTCCTTCCTTCCTTCCTTTCTTTTGAAAAACCCATTCCTTTTAGAACATTGTTATTTTCTTGTGGATGGATGCATATAATCTGACTCAGATTATAGGGTTACTATACTTTTTTTCCAGCTCAGATAAATCTCTCAGGATAGTCATTTAGTGATTAAAAATTAGATTTGAAAGATTATTGAAAGGATACTTCCTCCTCCTTTGCTCTTTGAACCAAAATTATTCAGCATTATTTCTTGTATTGCTGCTTAACTTTATGCATGTTATGAGGGGAGAGACTTTTTTTTTCTATTTTGCCTTTTAGATGGGACATGCATTGAAATTATATTTTGAGATTTAATGCAGGAGATGCTTAGGAAATAAAATATTGGTTTTGTTTTGCAAGACAAAAATTTGAACATAGAAACAGTTTTAAATAACCAACAATATTATTTATATTAAGTCCTATTTAGTACAGAAATGATAGAAATACCTGCTTTGTTAGTTTTGTTTTTCTTCATTTTGGTGCACAGCATATAAAGTGGGGTAATAAAATATTGGTAGTGCCCTTGTTTATATCATTCTATGTATTTGCTTTACAATTAATCCAGGGAAAAAAGACTATATATGCTCTTTCCAGTGTCACTATTCTCTAAATTAGTATTGAGCTGTAATAAAGTCTAAAATATTCAGTGTTAAAGATACTTTCCCAAAGTATGATATATGTATGTCATATTTTATTATAATAATGTATAGGTTACCTTATTCCCCAGACTATGCAAAATATTTGGTTTCTGGACTTAAGCAGTAAGATGCTGTCGCTCCTGGATTTCATTTCATTTCTTAACAAAACTTGAAGAAATTCATGATTGAGTAAATGGGTGTGAGCCACAATTTTTACAGTCTGTGCTTAATGAGTGAAATGCTCAGTTTTTCTTCCTTCAATATTTAATCTTTCAAAATAGTAGTGTTGCTAACTGCCACCATATGGAACTGCAGTAATATGCCTATCTTTCAGCTCTTTAATTTCTGAATCTTTTCGCATAGACTTGCTTTTGATTTTTTTTTTTTTTAAGATCAGTAATATTTCAGAAGGCAGTGTTTGGTATAAATGACCTTGGCAAACAAAAGCTTCTGTTTAAAGTGCTTCTACCTGGGCAGCCCCAGTTGGATTTGGGCATTATTTACTTTACAAGTGCTCCTTATAAATGTCAACTTACACTGTAGGTGCAGATTAGTCATGTATCTTATAGCAGTCATTGCAGTTACTGCTTACACTGAAGAAGCATGGCCGTGTCAAGATACCCAGGATAAATACAATATACTTTTCCTGCCGATAAATTGCTTTCAGATTCACTAAGGCATTCTTGCTGAGTCATCACACAATACATCTAATTAATAGGAAAGCCAATAGTTAACGTGTGTTCACTGTTTCTTTCATATCCATCTTCTATGGTATCTTTTTTTTAGCAAAATTCCTCAGGGGTTCCGTGAAGATGGTCGTTCCTGGGAGCACCACTGTGATTCAGCCAGACCACAGTCTTGGAACTGAATTGGGCCGAAGCTCAGCAGAGAATTCAGTGATGGGTCCTGATGCAGAATCCATGGCTGATCAGGTGGGCCCTGAGCTGGAAGAAGTGAGGAAATTGCAAGCGCTTGTGAGGAGGCTTGAGCTCCAGAATCAGCAGCTGAGAACTAGAAGCCTGCGAAGTGTGCCAGAGGCAAAATTGCTGAGCCAAGCTGATGCTGGAGTGGATAATTGCAATTCCAGGCTCAATGGCATGGAAATGAATAATAGCATCAATGCACTAATGGATAAGCAGGAGTTGCAAATAGTGGCAGACCTGCACTCGGCCCTGAGTAAAATAAGGTCAGAAGCAGAGGAAAACGTTGAGTTCTTTAAAAAGGATGTGGAGACCCCAGTACAGCACAGTTGTGAAAAAAGATCTGACAAAGAGCCTTCCGGTGCAAAGTTTGTGAGCGGTACCCAGATGCAGAACAGCGAGGCCAACACAAACGATGTCTCTCATTGGGATTGCAACCACACAGTGTTGCTAGAAGATTTCATCAAAGGTGTTGAGCCAGCGTTGCAAATGAAGGAAGCAAACACAAATGCGGAAGACCTCTTGAACGAAACAACTCTGGATGAAGTAGAATTGCTAGAGTTAGAGAACGGCAGCGACGAAGAGGACAGCTGGTATGTACTATGAGATTACATATTGTAGCTCTAAAGCAGTGTTTCCCAAACTTGACAATTTTAAGGCATGTGGACTTCAACTCCTAGAATTCCAGAGCCAGCAATGCTGGCTGTGGAATTATGGGAGTTGAAGTCCACATGCCTTAAAATTGTCAAGTTTGGGAAACACTGCTCTAAAGGATTCATGCTGAGAGGGAATAAGGCTGTAATCATATTTTCTAGAGCAGATTATTATTCTGTTTCTCTTCCCTCCACTGGCCCTCAAAAATATCAGTGAACACAGCAGTGTGACAGGAAAATGGACAGTGTGAAAGAAAGGGGATTAATCTGTAAACAAAAACCAACTTTGGTCTAAAATGTTTAAGAGAAACAGAAAGGAAAAAAAGTGTGGGAGACCAGGAAGCCTATATTTCTATTTAGAGTGCCACTTTTCTCATAAGAGATTGCCAAATGGAGTGGAGACTATTGCCAAATAAGTTCCTTAAGGTGTTTCTATTAGTATTACAGATATTTGCATAATAGTTTATCTGTACACATAGCAAAATGTAAGATGTAAGGTCACTTTAAGCAACAATTCCTTAACCATTCCTTAAGCTTATTATTCAAGAAATAATTGGATTAGATGAAAGAGAGGACTGGGTTATTGGATTTTTTTTTCTGCCAGTGGAAGATGCTTGCTGTAATTAGGAAGGGGGCTATATTTGAAAAAAAGGAGTTCGGGCTGAAGGTTTTTTAAAAATGATTCACAGCTATAATTAACTGATATGAGATAATTCACAGCTATAATTAACTGATATGAGATAATTTGGAGGATAAATTGCTTGGACTATTTTTGCGAAAATTGCCAAGTATTATATTTACCTAAGTAGTGTACTCTGGATCCTGAAAAAAAATTGAAGAGATGTTGCATTGTTACTACCCAACCATTGTTTGCTTTATACAAATGTTACGTTGTGTAATTCGTTATTTCCTTAGCAAAACAATTATGTACAGATACTCCTTGACTTACAACAGTTCATTTAGTGACCATTCAAAGTTACAAACGACTAATGACCGTTTTTTATACTTGTGACTGTTGCAGCATCCCCACGGTCACGTGATCAAAATTCACATGCTTGGCAACTGACTCATACTTATGACAGTCACAGTGTCCTGGGATCCATTACCTTTTGTAACCTTCGGACAAGGAAAGTCGATACCGTGTTACTAACTTAACCGCAATGATTCACTTAACAACTGTGGCAAGCAAGGTCATAAAATAGAGCAAAACTCACTTAACAAATGTTTCATTTAACAACAGAAATGTTGGGCTCAATTGTGGTCATAAGTTGAGGACTATCTGTATGTGAGAAAATGAAACAGATTTATGAGAAAGTACAGTATGATAGATGATTTCATTATTCGGATGAATAATGACATTTGGATCCATCTTAAAAATGGAAGTAATTTTGTCTGACCCCCCCCCCTCCAAATAGTTAAGAAAGGGAAAAATATTTGTTACATTACTTTCTTTGCTGTGACTTTAGACTTTTGTTGATAAAATACTAATGGAAGCATAGAGATACTGAAATAGTTGCTTCGATCAAGCTGTCAGATTAAGCTTTTTACCTTTCCACTTCAGGCTGTATATTTCTCCAAGAAACCCACCAACAGATAAGAAGGAATCGCCCCTGAAATGGTGTAGACAGGTATTGGATCATCCTAGTCCTGAGACCGAGGCAGCTTGCCGTACCCTCATCAGCAGACTTGACCAAGGTAGGCCTATGAATGGTCTTGAGAGAGCCCTTAACTGACCACTGAGGGAGCTGGTAGATTGATTGGTTGGTGTTGCACTTTTAAAGAGCTTGGCATAATGGAGGAGACTTGAGAAAAATGAATTGGATCATAAGATCAGTAATAACACCTTGAAATTGGGGCCTTTTTGGTTTTGCATTTTTGCATTTGCTTGATGCAGTTCAAACCCAGTTACATTGAGCCCGGTGTTTATCTGGGATATCCCTGAGCTAATCACGATTATGATTATTAGATTTATATCCTATCTTTATTTTGTACAACTCAAGATAGCTTATATTATGCTCCTACCTCCTGTTTCCCCCTTGACAACATCTCTGTGAGATGGATTCTGTTGCGACTAGCCCCAAATCACAGAACCAGCTTTTATGCCTGCTTCTAAATTTGCCCTAAGTTAGAAAACGTATGTGATCCTTTGGACTAAAAGACCTACATAGTTGGAGAATGTCCTCTGCTCTCAAAGGATATTAAGACATCTTGGGACAATCTTTTAAGATATATATTTTGCAAACCTTAAAGGAAATACTTTTCTTTCAAATGTTTTTATGTTGTACCGTTTGGTTTCAAATAGTCCTTTTTTTTTCAAAATGTATCTTATTATGTTTTGGTGACATACAGACATATAAACATTCACTGGTTGGCACATGGCATTTTAAAATATAAAAGTTTATTTTAATTCAGACACCTAAAACACATTCAGTATTGTAAGTTGCTGCCCTCTGAGTTTCTTGCTACTGTGGAAAATGTTAATAATACAGTAAACCGAAGAATGGTTTTGGAGCGATTTTGCTTGAAAACTTGATTTTGTCATCTGGAATCACATTAGATTCCCAGGAAAACAGAAACATTCTGCTAGCTAAATACTGTTATTTTTTTTCCAAAGTGTGTGAAGTTGAACATTGTAACAACTTAAACACATTAGCAGGTTTGTCAACAAATTAAACTTGTCAACTCCTCCTAGAATATGAGGACAATGTAGCTCAGAATAAAATGATTGTTTTTCATAAATAATGCCACTCCTTTTTGAATTTTCAGCCCTAGATAATGATGGGAAATCTTTATTTGGTTTTAATAGTTCTGTGCCAAGTTTTTTGTTCTTGATGCTACAGTTTCGCAGTAGATAATATTTTCATTAGATCACACTACCTGTATGTGTCCTTGATAACTCTAGAAACCTGATTCATGTTGAAATTTTTTGACACATAGTATTAGTATCTCTAAGATTGTCCAACTGGGAAACTTACATCTTATGCATATCCACATTCTAGGATGAGAGATGGCAAACTATGCATTTCTTCATTGAGAGAGAAATGCCATAATATTGGATATCTTCTCATCCAGCCTGTCTGTTATTTGGGAAACTCTGGAGAAGAACCACGGCTCATCTTTCAGAGTTCACTTTAGCACTTCAAACCGACTCAAGTATGTCCAAGGTGAACATTGTAAATTCACACAACAGCATATAGATATATATTAGTCTGATACCTGCAAGTCCCAGATGTTAAGACAGGAAGAGACTAGCCCATGGAGAACTAAGGATTGTCTTCATTTGCTTTAATTCCAGAGATTAATCTGTCAGCCATAATTGGAAATTGAATTTATTGGTTTGTATCATGACTGGGGTGAGTGTGTCTGGCATGTAATGCATGCAGATGTGGTTTGACGTTCTCTCTCTCTCTCTCTCTCTCCTCATCTGAGTATCTGTGTTTAATGTAACAATTCATGGCTTTTTTGTATTTTCCTTTAGCCAGTAGGTGGAAATCCCTGTATTGCAGTCCATTGGCGTCTCCAAGTGTGCATAACTTGAATACAGACTCAGGGTCCTGTAGCAATGCACTAAACTCTCCTGGGCACTACAAATCAACTAACAAACCACTACTAACTTGCGGTAGCTCAGGTATGGCATGGCTTCTGGGGTACTTTCAGAGAAACGGATATGAGAAATGCATGCAGAGGGGAGGACAAGGTTGCTTTGGACAGTTTAATGTGATGATTCTAAGACAGTGATGGCGAACCTTTTAGAGACCGAGGGCCCAAACTGCAACCCAAAACCCACTTATGCATCGTCGAGTGCTGGGTGGGCATGGCCCATTGGGTGGGCGTGGCTGCGGTGGTAATGGAAGACTGGGTGGGACTAAAAAGTTCAATCAAACAATTCCAACTTTGCAAGATCTTTTTTTTTTTCCTGCGAGAAGTTGAAATTGACTGAACTTCTTTTTTTTTTTTTTTGCACATGGCAGTGGAGGCCTAAAGCGAAAAGGTTTTATAAAACCCAGCTGAAGGCCTAGGACTGGGGCGACAGTGTGCATGCCCACAGAGAGGGCTCTGAATGCCGCCTCTGGCACCCGTGCCCTAGGTTCGCCACCACTGTTCTAAGGGCTTCTTCCCCTAATGTTTCCAGAAAGCTTCTTATTTAAATCGTCTTGCTTCTTTGTGCTAATTTGGGTTTTTTCCCCCCAAAAGGTTTGTTATTTTTGTGATAAAGGACCATTATCTGGCCCATCACCTCCAGGATGAGGGCATTTGATTATCCCTTAGGAAAATGGAGAGTCCTCTTTAGCATGGCATTCTTACGTTGCTTTATGTGTGTGAAAATGTTTTAACTTGCATTTATATATCTTCTCCCATGGTTGGTGAGAATTAGCTTATAGTCCTAAGTCTACAATAAATAGACCTACACATTTTTTTTGTCTGCTTTGTCTGAAGTTTCCCAAAAGGTGGAATGACCAGCATGCCTTGGAGACAGAAGCTGAAACCGCTTGCAAAGCTCAGCTAGTTCACGTTGCTGTGCAGAAAGTTGATTTGCATTTAGAACCAGCATTTAAAAGCCAATCACTTATTGCATGCTTAATTTTTTTTAAATAAGGACAAATGAAATACCATTTCCTAAATATTTCTTTGACATTTGGGGTGGAGAAGAGATAACCTATTAAGACTAAATTACTGACATCTTAAATTCTAATGAAAGACAATACTGAATTGCCTTTTTCAGGTGGAGGCTATAACACTAACGTCTGGATTATTTTTGTCTTTTATTGCTGGAATACCTAATAATCCTCTCCTCTTTCAGTCACAGAATCTATACCCAGTTTATCTGGTTTGCAGCCAATGCAATGTTTTAACTTCCCTAAAGACAGATCAAATAGCAATACAGAAATTACATTCTAAATGTTCTTTTTATTTAGACCGATTATTTGAGAATTATGTAATAATCCTTCCAGAGCAATGAGTGAACGTAAAAATATCATTTTTCATATTTAGTACACTAGTGAATTATATAGTATTCTCAAACTGCAGCTAATGAAAACGCTACAGGTAGCGACTGCCAACATACCAGGCAGCTTTTAATTTGATACTCTTGCTTTGCAAGCCTAAAATTTGAGGTCTCTTTCCTTTGCAGACCTTTATCATGATTTTGATCTCAGTCATGTGAAAATTATTTTTTTGCTGAACTGGAAAGTCTCCTTCCGCTTGATGGAGCCACCAATGAAATTAATCAATTAGAGAACGGGGGGGGGGGAATCCTTAGCCGACTTTGCTTTCAGATCTTATATTTTGCTGCCAACTAAATAAGTGCATTTTCAGTATTGTACAGCAAACCTGGCTGGGGGATTCTGGGAGCTGAAGTCCACAAGTCTTAACGTTGTCAAGGTTGAGAAACATTTCTATACAGAGTTTTATCCAGAGAGGTTGCTGTTGCAGTTTGCTTCTCTTATTTATAGAATTAGCAGTTGTTTGTATGATAAATCAATAAATCAATTGCAGCGAATGGACAGGATTAACTGTAAGAGATTGGGGCTGCAGTGTGGCAGTTTTAACTTTTTGCTCTTGGTTAGCTTCTGGATTATTAGCTTTCCACATGGTTATTTGTTTTGGAAGGGAAGCTCCCATTGAAAGGAACAAAAGTTTTATTTCTCCAATGAATATTAAGTGCAGAGTCCTCACTCCAGATTGGAATGGCAGCAAGGTCAACGTTTAAAGTCTTTTTTCTTTCCCGTACCTAAGTTTTGACCTGCTCCCCTTGTTCTCTGTGAATTTACTTTTGAAAACCGTCCGTACTCTGAGAATGGTTTCCTCCCTTGTTTGATCCTACACTGTTTTAGTCATTTTAATTGCTTTCTGAGTAACAAGCATGACAATGCTGCTTAGAAGGGAATTAAGATTGCTGTGGTTAGTCACGAGTGCTTATCCTGCTTAAACACACATGAGTCTTGCCATATAATTAGCTTAGATTCTTAATTAATGACTAAACGACTGCTTTTTTGAACGTGTCCAGGACTTTGTAAATAAGTAGCCTGCTTGTCTGATAATAAGAATCTGCTCTGGACAGTCAAGCAAACAATGTTTTTTTCCCCTCTTCTTTATGTCAAAATGACCTATAAATATATTGAGGGGAAGGCTAGAAACAATCAGTTGTGAAATAGTAACATGTTTACAGTACAACTTGGTGTCCAAAATGTCTGGTTCTCTTGTCTTGCCTGTTCTGTTTTAAATGACCTGGCTTTTCTCTGAAGTATTCCAATCAAAAACAATATGTTTTGTGGCAGGCTCGGGCATTATCTTAAATTCACACTATGAATTTGAAAAGATTAATTTTCGAAAATCCTAATCCAGCCGCAGCAGAAAGTGGAGGGTCATATTGACTGATATACTCTAAGAAGGTCTGAAACGTGAAGAACTGATGATCCAGTAAAGCCGACACGTGTTAATATAGGCATGTGTGCTCTTCTTTAGTAGAGGATGATGACTCATATCTTCAGCCACATGCTGTTAGGGAACCCCTTCACTGGTACTTTAAAAACTAGAATTGCTTTGTAGCTGATAAAGTAAGTTGACTTTGCATTCAAAAACACTTCGCTCATAGTTTTGTATTTCTGGTGCAACAGGGAATGAGATTGTTACGTTTGACCTAGTTTTGGTGGCTTTCTGTGGCTTCATCCAAACTATTTTACATGCCATAATCCTTTTCTTTCCCTGCACGTCACAGGAACAGAGTTGCCAGAGGTTTATAAGAGGTAGCTCAGAGTAATGCCCATTCATCTGGGACATTTGGATAGGGAAGATTAACTGAAATGATGATTTTAATAACAGAATTCTATCGTTACCATACATGACAGGATAAACCTTCCTCCGTATTGAATATTGAAAGGACTCTTTCACTTGGAAACCATTGCTGGTTATCCTTATGATCAATTTGCTTACCTTATAAGGGTGTTTAAGTACAAAACTGGAAAAAAAAAAGCGTACTACGACAGTGCTTGTGCAATTGTGTGTTTTAAAATGATATCTGTAGCTTCCTCACCCTCACCTGCTTTTTCCTTCTCTCCCACCCCTTTCTAAGGTTACTTGAACATGCATTCAGCTTTGAGCTCTCAGTCTTCTGTCGATAGCGAACTTAGTACCTCAGACGACTCGATTTCAATGGGCTACAAACTGCAAGACTTGACTGACGTGCAAGTTATGGCCCGCCTACAGGAAGAAAGTATGTGAAAGCAATTTGCAGTATTTCTGTCTCTACATTAAGGCTACATCACCTACCGCGGGAGAATTTTTTTTTTTAAGAAACAATAATGCAAAATATTATTTTTCCACTTAACTGAATTTTCTCTCATTCCGCCAGCACAAGAGTACACACAGATAGTTTCTTAGGTGGGTAATTGGGTGTCCCTGCTAGTAAATTAGATGTCCCTATTTAATGATAGGAAGAAACACGTCTGTTGCTGCTTTGGCTATGTCTGTCTAGAACAGTGGTTGTCAACCTGTGGGTCAGGACCCCATTTGGGGTTGAACGACCATTTCACGGGGGTCGCCAAATAACGCAGTCCGCCATTTTTTCCCCCTTTTCCTTAGCTGTGCTACTCCCTTTTATTCTATTGGCTTTTGAAAGCCAATAGAATAGACTCTCTTGAATAGAGTCTAATTCTATTGGCTTTCAAAAGCCAATAGGAATTGTCCAGGCTGTCTCTGCCCTGCTGAGCCCGCCAAAAGTCCCGTTCTGCAAACGGTGCTGCACCAGTTGAGTAGTCCTCGACTTACGACCGGTTGAGTAGTCCTCGACTTACGACCGGTTGGGGGTCGCGGCATTAAAAAGGTTGAGAACCACTGGTCTAGAAGCATCCGCTCTTGACCTCATTGCAGCTGCTTCTGAAGTACATGTGTATTCCAGCATAGCTTAATGGTCTGGGGAAAAGAAAAGAAAAAGTCTTGCTTTTGGAGCAGATTAGGCTAAGAGTATCTCATTAAGGATCATTTAGCCTTGAAATTGCATCTTTGTGAAAGAACTACAACACACGTCCCCAACCTTTTGGGCACCACGGACCGGTTCTGTGGAGAGAGGTTTTTCCACAGACCGGAGAGTGCGTGGTTTTGTGTGCTGCCTGCATCCCACAGATGGGGCTTTACTTGTTTGGGCGGACTGGTTGCTGGCATGCCGTGGCCTGGTACCGGTCCACAGACCTGGGGTTGGGGACCCCTGAAGTACAATATCCCACTATGTTTCTGGCAAACAGATCATTTATAGCTCGGTATATTGTATCAAACATAACTGTGTAAAATGAAAAAGTTGTCAAATGAAAAAGTTGAGATGCTGATGTTTGCCTAAACATCTGAGGGAGGCCCTATGGATTTACAATATGCTGTCACTAGCAAAACTCTCCGGGTTGTTACTCTGCCCCAAAATGCAGATACTGGTTATGAGTGCTGAAATAGACGTAAACTACTTGTCTGCAGAGATGTGAAAGCTAGATTGCAACCCTCATTTTGGTGCCTTTAAAATTAGTTGAGGCTACAAGCCGAAAATGCTGCCGTTGCCTCATGTGGGTGTCATTTATCTCGGGTACAAGTCTGATGTGGTTGTTTCCTTGTTTGCTTTGCTAGCTCTTTGGTGGGAAATATCACAGGTATGCTAAACCATACGATCTCGAGAAGTAACTGTGTCTTCTGTGGCTGTGGCCGTCCTTCAGGTCTTCGTCAGGATTGTGCCTCCAGCTCAGCCTCCGTCTCCCGCCGCAGTTCCAGCGCCTCCTTACATTCCTTGCGCAGAGGCACCTACAGCGACCAGGATTTTGACACGTACAGCCTGGAAGATGAGGATGACGACTGCTCTTTCCCCTATCACAGCAGTCACAGATACTCCCCATCCCCACTCAGCTCACCGCGGTGCCAGTCTCCCTCCACAAACACAGATTACGGGAGGGCCACAAATACCCGAATTCGGCCCCCCCGGAGGACAGTGCAGAGCCCGATGCAAGATAAACTGAAGTATTCTTCGAACGAAGGTGCGTGCTATTATTTCTGAATCTTGCAGGGTTTTTTTGAATGATCCTGTCGATAACAGCAACAGTTGGGTTTTTCATTCTTTGTTACGTTATCCTTTACAGAGGAACTGCGTCACAGTATGCCTAATCTGGCTAGGACCGGCCTGCGATCTTTGGAGTCAGTGAGAAATAGCCGTAGCCTGGACTCAGATCTACAGATTCCCAGTAGTCGGCTCTCTAGAATCCATCAGGAATCCGCCAGTAAGTCGGCTTCTCCTGAAATTGTCACATGACATTTCAGTTGGTGTGATTATCAAAACAGAAACAATAGCATCAGAGATCTCCGCTTGCCACAGGTTTTAATGGAGCTGCCCATTCCCTGAAATAATGGTTTTAAGTTTGGAAGTTCTATGGGATCCCTCTTTGTTTTTAGTTCTTAAAGGGACTTAATCATCTGAGAAACCAGCTGGGCCTTCTCTGAAAAAGTTGCCAGACCACAGTCATTCTTCATGTAGAAGTCTCAATTGGGTTATTCTAATGCAGGGGGTCTTCACACTTGGCAAGCTGGCTGGCTGAGGAATTCTGGGACTTGAAGTCCACAAGTCTTAAAGTTGCCAAGTTTGAAGACCCCTGTTCTAATGGGTTCTACACAGAGCTGCCCTTGAAGATTATTCATATATTTCAGCTGTCCAAAATATGGCAGTTTCATTTGTCATCATAGGAGTCTAAGCACTAGGCATTTTGCCAAATGCATTGGCTACTGATTTAATTTGTGGTGCCCATCTAGCAGTTTGAAAGCATGCAAATGTTGTACTCAGTAGATAAATGGGTACAACTTCAGTGTGAGAAAATAATAGTGCTCCGTGCGCCTCAGCATCTAGTCACGCTGACCACATGACCATGGAAAGAGTCTTCGGACAACACTGGCTCCCTCGGTTAAGAAACGCCCCCTTAAAGTTATCTTTTAATTTGTGGGTTCAATTGACAATTTGACTTCTCTTTTTCTTCTGTGGCCTGGATTGGCTTCAGCCATGTGAATCTGCCCAAGAACTTTGTCTCCTCCTGATCCCTTTTGGATATGCTCTCCAAATAGACCCGCTGTCATGGTTCCGACAGATGAAACACTTCAAAGAACTTTGAGGCATTGTTTACCTTAAAGAATCTTTATTGGAGTAACAAAGCTTCAGCACTAAGATAGTTGAAGCCAAAATCTGAATCCCCCTCCCCTGAGGACATGGTATCAAAGCACAATTCCCTCCTCCAATTAACAGTCATAAATCACGTTCTCCAATTAGTTTGAAATGCCGGCTTTCCCTCCAGTTCTTCAACCGGGCCATTTCTTATCTCTTGTTTCAAAATCACTGATTCACACAGTATTGCAATATTGTTATGTCTAACTTAACTCCCATCACTTTCCTCCCCCAGTATCATCTAATTCTAAGAGTAAAGCATAAGAAAGGATAAGGCTGCCTCTCCCTATGTTGTCAAAGCCAGAACATCCAATGTTAGCAGCATTTGACACCCACATTTGATAATCGTTAACATGGTCTCTATTTTCCCTCCCTTCCGCTTTAAGGTCTGACTCCGAATAAGCTCCGCTATTCCTCCAGTGTTGGGCAGTCCCCCCTGACAGCTCGACAGCCCGTGAAAGCGGGCCCCTGTGCAAATGCTCTCCTAACCCCACGGCAGCCTGTTAGAGCTGCTGGATATGCTAGTCCAGCTGGCCGAGTCAGAAAACTACAGTCTTCCACGCTGACTCCAGGTGTTTCCAGTAGTGGCAGTTCAGTGTATCGAAGCAATAGTATGGCCGGCGGAGCAAAAAGCTCTCTTCCCAAAAGCAAAGCATCAGTTGCAGGAGCACCCACTCTGAAGAGCAGGTTGACCCAGCCAGCCAAGCGGTGAGTCCTAAAAGCTCATGCAGGTGATGTATAGGTAGTCCTTGACTTACAACAGTTTGTTTAGTGATGATTTAAAGTTAACAGCGGCATGAAAAAAGTGACTTATGGCCAATTTTTCACACTTAACGACCATTGCAGCATCCCCACGGTCACGTGATCAAAAATTAGGTGCCTGGCAACTGATTCATATTTAGGGGATCCATCCTTTGCGACTTTGTTGACAGGCAAAATCAGTGGGGGAGCCGGATTGACTTAACAACCGTTGTTACTAACTTGACAACTGCAGCGATTTACTTAGCATCCGTGGCAAGACAGGTTGTGAAACAGGGTAAAAACCACGTCTCACTTAGCAACAGAAGCGTTGGGACTCCATTTGGTGGCAGATCGAGGACTATCTGTATTTGGATTGCAATCTGAAACCTGACCGCTCCTTTGCCTGCCTGGGACTTTGCCAACAGCCTTGATCTCCAGGGCCTTTTCCAGCCCCCAGATTGTTTTAGAAGAAACAACCCAGTCGAGCAAGTCAAAGAAAGAGGCCAGCTCAAAGCAGGAAAGATTTTTCCTTAATTGTAAAGAATCCCCCATCCTCTTTCCCAGTTTCAGACCGGTTCTAGGAAGGAGAGCAGAGGATTGCTCTGTATGGCATTTGAGGGGTACAGTTGAAGTAATTATCAACTTGAGGTTCATGTATAAAACTGTAGGATTGTTCCTTTAAAAACTTTATACCCTACCTCAGGGGTCTTCAAACTTGGTCACTTTAAGGCTTGTGGACTTCAACTCCCAGAATTCCTCAGCCAGCCCTCAGGAATTCTGGGAGTTGAAGTCCACAAGTCTTAAAGTGGCCAAGTTTGAAGACCCCTGCCCTACCTGGTTTTATTCCCCAGCCATCTAGCAGACTATGAGCCAAAACAAATGGCGGCAGGTACTTGCTTTTTAAATAAATATATATGTTTTAAGGCGTGAGCTTAAATGGACTGCAGAAGATGGTACAGGACAGGAAGGCCTGGAGGAACGTTGTCCATGGGATCACGATGGATCGGACACGACTTCGCAACTAACAACAACAACATTTTTAAGACTAGCGACAGATAATGCTGCATTAAGTCTCCTTTCTTCTGATGACTGTTTATTAAAGCATTGTCTACCTGTGTGTCCCAACAGATATCCAAAGGCCAACATATCTGCGGATGATTCTTGGAAAGATGGATGTTATTGAACAAACCAAAAAAAAAAAAAAGGCAGATAACGAACAATGACTTGTTTGTTGGGTTATAGAACTGGAAAACAGCCCAGCTGGCTGGGCAGGACAGGCTTAGGCCTCCATTTTGCCACCATGCTTGACAAACTGGAATGGTGTCTTTCGGAACTTGGACATTTGCCTTTGCTTTGTCTGGACGATGGACATGGATGGCTTTTTTTGTTGTTGTTGTTCCTGCTGTTCTACTCTGACTGCTGAGCCTTGATGACAGCAGTCCTTGTACCTGAAGGTACAGGTGTGACCTGAGGCGCACACCTGGAGACCCGTTCATGGTACATGCATGGAAGAAGAAGAGCGTGGGACAGACTCCTGTGGCAACGAGACATTTTTGAGTCTGCGGGTTTTTTTCATTCTTTGCAAAAGGCAGCTAGATAAGGTAAACATAATTAATTAGCAATGACTGTTTTTTATGTCACTTGGTGTAACTTAACTTTTCTAGGAAATTCAGAGAACGTTTTTTTTTTTTTTACTTGTCCCGAACAGGTAATCTTCACTACTTTTATTATTATAAAAGTTAAAGGGTTTTTTAAAAAAATAATAATAGCTAGTGCATCATCTGTCACAGGAGAATGTCTTGAAGCTTGATTCCCCCATTTTCTCCAAGACTGTTTTATGTGCTGTTGCCTGCAGGCTGATGTGCACCCCTGCAGTGAGGTCTTACTTACCCATTTGCTCTCTTATCTTTTTGTTAGGCAAGTTTTAGTGTGGATAGTAGCATCACCTTTGCCGGCTAAAAATGCACTTGAAGTATTTCGTTCCCTCATGGTTGTTACTGCACCCCTGATACTAAAACTGACCTTTCTGCTTTTGTACAACTCTTTTCTACTGTCCATTTTTTGGGGGGTGGGTGGGTTGTTTTTCGATGAAGGAACTTGTTTAAATTAAATCTGTGGCTCATGGAGTTTGCCAAATGCAAGAATACAATCATACCTGGGAATGCAAACTGGCCTGTTCGCCAGCCCTACTTCTTGCCACCAATGTGACTTGATATTGTAGTTAATAAATGTGAAGGGGGCTAGTGCTACCTTGTCTTCAGTAGCAAAATTGCGTCCTGCTGCTTTCTTTACCCAGATAGATACACAGATAGTCCTTGACTTAACCACAGTTCATTTAGTGATGGTTCCAAGTTAATAGCGGCACTGAAAAAGTGATTTATGACCATTTTCACACTTAAAACTTGCAGGTTCCCCATGATCACGTGATCAAAATTCAGACACTTGGCAACTGACTCATATTTATGATGGCTGCAGTGACCAGGGATTACATGATCACCTTTTGTGACTTCCTGACAGGCAATGGGGAAGCCAGATTCACTTAACAACCATATTATTAACAACTGCAGTGATTCGCTTAACAAATGCGAATCACTTTGTGTAACAAGTCACTTTGTGTAACAAGCAAATGTCATAAAAGCTCACTTAGCAAATGTCTCACTTAGTAACAGAAATTTTGGGCTCAATTATGTTCATAGAGGACTAGCTACAGTAGACACTATCTTGAAATGACAAAATTAAGTGTCTTCTTTCAAATGAGATTCATTATGAAAATGTTGGAAGAAAAATAACACACTGACACGTAGCAAATGCATCAATCATGCTTTGATGCTGTTAAAGCCGAGGCAGTGACCCATAAAAACACACAATGAGAATTCATGAAGTAATTTTAAGCTTTCCTGTTAGTTAATTTGCCAAATGAATGAAAACAAATTTTGTATTTGTTTCCTGGCCTGTTGGGCTGAATGGTTTCCTTTTGATCCAGAAATGTTAATAACACTTAATTGTAGCCACACTGACTTAATCAGTAGGTAGAAGTATTTCTTGCTTAAAATACTTTGTGGATGAACTCACTGGTCATCTCCTGCAATAGGATGGAGACTTTAAACAATTAAGAATGGTTGTTATATAACTCTCTTTGCTTCCATTTATCCTGCCATGCTTCCTGAAATAACAGCTGAAACCTAAAGAGATGGACCAGAGCATTTCAAAGGGTCATCAGATAGTAGACCAGTGTTTCTCAACCTTGACAATTTTAAGGCATGTGGACTTCAACTCCCAGAATTCCACAGCCAGCAGTTGAAGTCCACATGCCTTAAAATTGTCAAGGTTGAGAAACACTGCAGTAGACGTTAAGTAAGACAATGTATAATCAGATGTTGAACAGGCACACCATAAAATGTTTTTGAAAAAAACCCTGAAAAAATGGCTATTAAATTATAAGTACTACTGAATGTTTACTTGTAAAGTAAGGGCTGGTCGGTATTTGATTTCAGATTTTCAAACCATTCTGTAAATCCTCAACACAATTTTGTTTAAACAAAAAATAAGGTTATGGGCAAAATACCACTTTGGACCACTTTTATAATTCACACTGGTGATAACCTATCTCTCCAGTACTGTACAACCTGCCACAATCACAACCAGTCTAAGATCAGGGAGCTACTGTCACCACATGAAGATCATAGCAATGCGAAAGTTTTTAGATAAGGGCTCAGTGTAAGCTCTGAAAAAAGCTCACCGATTTTCTACTTTTGGATCACTGTTTATCCAGAACTTAAAATAAGCAGCTCAGCTATCAGGAAGGTCTTTGACGAGAAAAACTGATTATCAACTGTCTGCAGTTAAGTACATTTATTTAAACAGATTTAACTTTATTTTACAATAATGCATCAGTGCATTTTATTAAAACAGGAGGAAGCAGCTTACATAAAGGCATTCAAAATGATAGAAAATTAACCACTGCTATTAACATTTTTTTTTAAAAAAAATGCACAATTAATTCAATGTTGGCTTGGTTCCTGCAAAGACATTTTGATGGAGAAGACCATGACTTTAGGAAACAAGGATAGGCGCACCGGGCTTGCTCTCTGCAGTATGCTGAGGAGAGCAAGCAGAGACTACCTAGAAAACTAGAATAAGATCCTAAAATACCAACACTTGGGGGAAGATTAAGAATCTTCCCAGTTATAAGATTCATCCTCATTTACATTATGCACGAATGAGAAGGGGTACAGTTTTTCACAAGTAATTTACACAGTTTTCGATTAAAAGTCGGTTTTCAATCCTTCATACTTCTCTATAACTTTTTCCTTGGAAATCAGTAGCGTGGGATCCCGTTCAGAATAGCTCCACTGTGCTCAAAGAGAAGAGGGCAGTCACTAATCCTGCACAGAGCGTGATCCTCTGGACATGCTAAAGCAGCTTTTAAGACACACCTCAGGAGATGAAGCCAGCGTGAACTACCGTATAGTTTGAAAGGACATTCCAAACGAGGCGAGAAGACAAACCCCAAGACACAAAAATTACAGATAGCAGCAGCAATGTTACAGCAATATTAATACTATACATTTACCAGTCACCCGAGTTGAAAAGTGGAACCCCCTTGAACAAAAGAGCCACAAAGGAAGCTTCGACGGAAAAGCTACAGCCTGTCATGAGTTTTAAGAAAGGCACTGCAGGAAAGAAGCCGTTTTAGTTAAGAGCTGATCACATCTCTGGGCTAGGTTTGTGAATAAGAACTCGGTCGACTTCGGTGGTCCCCCCACTCACATCTCAACCTAAGGTTTATGGGGCCTTCAGCATCCTCCAACCTGCTCCAGCAGCACTCAAAGGACAGTAAAGTGCAAAGCATGATAATGCAGATACTTAGAGCCTCCCGTCTGTCCACGCCCTCCTCTTCTTCCTTCAGGAAGTCATGTGCTGTTTCAGAGAAAAACAACCTTTGGGTTTTGAAGGAGTAGACCCATCTCCTTACAAGGTGATAAGGCAAAAAAAGACTCAAGTGTCCTGGAAGGATGAAGAGTGTGAAAGTCCACATTTGATGACCTACATTCCTGTGTGTGTGCTTTCATGTGATGGATCGGCTCAGACAGCTATTTCTTCACACAGTTGGGCCAGGAGAGGCCCCCGCAGGCAGCCGACACAATGATGTAAATGATGACCTGTGGGGGAGAAAGCATTTAGCACAGTGGTTCTCAACCTTTCTAATGCCGCGACCCCATAATACAGTTCCCCATGTTGTGGTGACCCCCAACCACTTATACATCACCGGGTGCCAGGGGCGTGGCCAAAGAAAAGGGGGAAAAAATGGCGGACAACCTTGTTTGGCGACCCCCGTGAAATGGTCGTTCGACCCCAAATGGGGTCCCGACCCACAGGTTGAGAACCACTGGTTTAGCAACTTCCGTCCCTCCACGTATCACTGCAACTAGCACTGCACTGCAACGATAGACTAGCTGCTTGAGCGGGCAACTGCACTGCAGCAAAAGCCACCTCAGTATTTTTCTCGTTCAAACGGGATGTCCTTCCATAAGGGAATACATCCCCTCGCGGCCCATTAATTCTTGCAGACCAGCACAAGGATAAAGGGACATACAGTAATTTCCTTTTATAGCCAGGGGAGTTTCCTCCCTTTTGTATCGGAGAACAACTTACAATTGATACGATGACAACTATGATGGTGAGCTTGAGGTTCTTCATGCACATTGCTCGGGCCAGGTTCCTGCTCGTCGTTTTGAAAGTGACAGACTGGAGGAGAAAAGCACAGAAGAGGATTGAACACAGACTGTACTCAACGTTTCATCCAAAAACGGGATTATATGCAACTGTTGTTTTAATTCATACTTTCAACGTATGTTCTGGAATGCCTTTTCATCTTTTTTATAAGTCTCCTATCCAAATACTGTTTGACTTTCGCTGCAAGATCATAGCAGAAGTAAGCACATTGCCCTCTGCTGGAAGTTCTTGACTAGGCTTTGGTGACATCCAGAACACAAGTAGTCCTCACTTAATGAATCTAATGGGGACAGACAACTGTCACTAACCCACATGGTCGTTAAGCAAAACATCACGGGACTGCTTAACAACAGCAGTTCTGGCAATCCCGTTTACTGTCATTGAGGAAGTCCTACACAGTTCCTAGGTCGCAACCTGGATCCAAGATAAAGGACTGGCCCCACTTCAAGCCCTCTGCCCCATCTCTCTCCTTTTGGCTACCCTGCCTGCCACCAGACCGGGTACCATGGGGTATGAGGGGCAGTTTTAAATGCAGACAGACCCACATTTTGCTCATGTGACTGCAGGGAACTGCAACAGCTAGGACTTCAGGGACTGATCCCAAGTACATTCAGCAGTCATAACTTCAAACAGTTGCTGAATGAATGGATGCTAAGTGAGGAACACCCCTATTCCCAACTGCTGATTTTTAGGCAATGTTATTCCCAAGAACAGCTGCCTTTGCCTACGTTAGACTGCTTGATTTCTCTCTGCATGGTCAAAAGATTCTGCCGACTACCACATGTTAATTTTGCTCTATAAAGGGAAATATTTGGCTAGGTAAATAGAACTCCAGTGAAGAAACATCTGACTTTCCCGTCCCAAATACCAAGATTAGAAGATAACTTTCTGAAAACATCCGATCTATGTTCTAGTTCAGTGGTTCTCAACCTGTGGGTCGGGACCCCATTTGAGGTCGAACGACCATTCCACGGGGGTCGCCAAACAACGCAGTCTGCCATTCCCCCCCCCCTTTTCCTTAGCTGTGCTACTCCCTTTTATTCTATTGGCTTTTGAAAGCCAGTAGAATAGACTCTCTTGAATAGAGTCTAATTCTATTGGCTTTCAAAAGCCAATAGGAATTGTCCAGGCTGTCTCTGCCCTGCTGAGCCCGCCAAAAATCCCATTCTGCAAACGGTGCTGCACCAGTTGAGTAGTCCTTGACTTACGACCGGTTGAGTAGTCCTCGACTTGCGACCAGTTGGGGGTCGCGGCATTAAAAAGGTTGAGAACCACTGTTCTGGAACGTAGCTAGTTCAAGAAAAAAACGTGTCCTATATACATTTTCATTCCCTTCCTCAAACAACCCTGCAGGCCTTCCTCTTAGCCCAGAACCGATCCAAAAGAATTCACCCCACCAGCTCCAGAACTTACTGAATCCACAAGATTTTCCGTTTTGTCTATCAGCAGTTCCAGCTTTTCTCCTCTTTGAGCTACGAGATCTTGGATGAAAGAGAGAGCAATTATAAGAACTCCAAGGGAAAAGCAATTTTC